ATACGGATAAACTAATATAGTCTAATCTGTGAGGGTGGTTTTTGGCCCATGTTGCTATTACCCTAAAAACCCCCATCTTTAAAGCTTTGATACAACACTGTAACAATAAATGATGCTGGATTCTCCTTTGAAGGACTCCCAGTGAGGGACACTGGCTTCCCTCTTATTCCAGCGCCTGTTTATCTCGCTGCCTGATCATTCAAGCCCTCTGCCACCAACAGCAGAAAACCCCACATGTCATCTCCTCATGGCTTCAGCTTTCAGCCTATTCCACTTCCAGCTCCTCTGTCCTCGGCACACTGACGTCTCTCGGGGGGACATTGCCTCTCCGGGGAGAGGTGACACAAGGTTAGCTTTACTGGACCGGAGGTCAACTCATGAATCGGTTTGACCTATTAATAGACACGGAACGCTCCGCAGAACCACAGTTCACACGCATCATTGTTTCATAGCTTTGTGTGCATATGATGATCCAAACAACTGTTTCACTTCCAGCCAAGGGGAGGTGGAGGTGGAGGTCGGGGTGGGACGGGTGGAGCTGAACTCGCTCCAGCCAGTACTGCATGTCAGAAATCGCTGAGACGAGCAGAGATTGCAGTGCAATAATTACAATATTGTACCCAAAAAAATCTGTCCAACTAGGAAGATAGTCCCATAGCATTCAGTCCCCGTGTGTTTGTCCTTGTTTTGTCATCACCAGACAATACTGCTAAACACTCAGTGTTCTCTTTTCCTTGTTTGAATAAGATTACACATATTTTACCCCGGCTGGCCCCTGAGGGCCAGTAGAGAGAATGCAGGTTCAAGACATTTCTACATCGGGTTGATTGGGTTAAATGGAGACTGGTAAATCCCACTGAGGGTGTCGTTCTCATCTGCTCCCGTATAGCACAGCGACAACAATCTCCCTTTTGCTAAAATATATGTGATTCACTGCATGCAAAATTGATTTCTTGAACTATTTCTGCATTTGTAGTCCTGCGCAGAGGGGACATGTTTAATGCATTAGTCTCCCCCGGGGTTAGCTTTAGCTAAAGTTCTATCGCTCCTCAGAAGTTCTTCTTATTCTCGCTCAGTGTCTCGGTGGTCGTGGCACCGAGCGGCATCTCTTTTGGCCCGACACCAGACGCCGTTTACCGCGACCCAATCAGGGGCAGATGGGCACAGATCGAGGGCCAACACAGGGAGCCGCTCTGGAGCTCCAGACCCTGTTTGACTGTCTGTGTTTTTAATGAGGTGCAGCTTGTGTGTGTGTGTTAAGAGCTGGAACTCAGCATTTCACTGGGAATATGGCAGTGACTCGTGCATGTAGACATTCTGTGTGAGTACGAGTTTAGCACGCTCAGCATGTGCCAGCGGTCTCAGTTGCCTTCACACAGCCGTGAGGTTTCTTTACATGTGGCATATGATGTGAGCCTCTGACAGCAGACTGTCTTTGCCACATACAATAATGTGAATGTATCACATCGGGCTTTGATGACGCACAAACTTCCTCAATGTTGGAAAATCACAATCGAGATGCTTGTGCATGGAATGGGAACTTACAGTTCATCGTTGGGCTGAACTGCCTTCATCCAAAGCTCCTGCTCGAGGTTAGTCTGATTGGCGCTACAGAGAAAAGAATGATACGCAGTATTCAGTGGTTTTTTAGAGACCAACAAATTGTGTCCTACTCTGCGACAGTCGTACCATTGGAGGATTCACTATTCAAGACTTTGTGTAAAGTTTGTGTACTTGTTGTACTTGCTGGTCAGGGCTCGGTAGAGTTTCATCGGTTTTAATAACCTGATCTTTCACGGAAACACGTGTTCCCCACTCCGACATTAGCTGCCCGTTACATTTCACTCAATGAAGGAGTTGCTTCTGTTTTACAAGTACATTTAAATCTTCATTACTTCATTATATAGCATGCAAACACAACAGCATAACTAAACCAACTCACTGCGCCAAGCGTTTCCACTCAACCTGAATCTTGTGTTTGCACATTCGTTCAGGAAATAAATGGCTCTGCTTTACGTTGATTGTGTACATCTTCTTAAATGTCATTCGACAGAGTACAATTACATCCAAAATATGTACAATGAATAATTGCCTGCTTCTTAGTGCCGCTTCATATCTCTCCCATCAAATATGTTGCAGAGTCACACTGTGGGTACAAACCCAAGGGCTGGATCAATAGCACATTGTTACTATGGAGACAGTATTAAAGAACAGTCCCACCTGAGGAGGACTAACGTATTGTGTGTGTGTTCATGTCTATGCAACAATCGCCACTAGCTCTGACATGCTCTTTGCTTCCTCGAGTGTTCTGCAGTCACATAATGTGTATTGTAACTCATCCCGTCTGTTGCCTTGTGTAATAGGCGTTACATAACGAAGGCAACACAAAAATAGCAGTCCATTGTTTGGCTGATGGGCACCAGGAGGAACTCTTCATTTGCAATGAGTTTAACTACAGTCAGAATCATTTCCCTGTTCAACCAGATACCATTACGTAAGATAGAGCCCACCCCCGTCCCCCACACCCCCTCCGTCTGTGTGCCATGTTTAGGTATCATATTTTAATGAACGGCATGATTTAGGGAAGGCTCGTCTGGGCAGATGTGACGGTGTCCTTGAGGCATAACCGGCATTCCTGATAAAACGACGGGGGGGTCTCGTCGGTAACCACTAATATTTGCCTTTGGGCTTGATGATGAACTAAAATAGATCCTGCTGGCAGAGGGAGTGTCATTCAGCACCAACTGTGGAGGGAAGGAAACAAATGAATTTGAATGGTGGCTGAGGGAAAAGTACAATATGCTGCCCATCCTTCCACTGGGGGGGGGTTATTGGTGGGCCAGAGTACACTGTGTGACACACGTTCCTTGGTCCTCAGAAGTGTGATCAGAAACCCTGCCTTATCTTATTAGAACACTAGTGAGGGAGATGCTTTTCATATTTCCACCAAGGTCCAGGTCCAAGTCTATTTGTTCCCCGTGCCGCTCCATCAGGGAAGAAATGAGGTTACTAAGACTAAATCTGTCTGGTGTAGATCTCCTCAAAGCCAATTCAGCTCTGTCTCAACGTGCAAAAATATACCATGCTACATCCATATGCTATTTTTCTCCGTAATAATACAAAAGTCTTCATTTTGTCCTGTTGTGATTCAGGAAGACATTCTGGATGCTGTTGTACATGATCCCAGTAGCTTTTGTTACCACTCCGGAGAAGCGTACTTCCACTCCTTTATATTGATGATATTGTTTGATTTACGGCCTTGGTTTCCTGTCAGACGGCATCCTTTGTGGTCTAACGGCATAATTCTTCCCATCGCAGCTTGGTCATCAAAGTTTGAATCGAGAGTTCCTGCTTCATTCTGTCTGGCCCTGGACAGATCTAGGGCGTTGTCATGGTAACATCCTTCAGTACAGGATGTGACACCTATGACCTTGTGGGATGTCGTTATCAGCGCTACAGTGAAGCCCGAACTTTCTCTGATAAATGAGAGGGCAGAAACGTTTTTTATCTTTATGTAATGTATGTTTTTTTTAGGCAATGGTTGTCAGGGCATTAGGTATGTTTTTTATCATTCTAAAAAGTCAAACAACATATAAAGGTTTATTTCTCTGAGGTACCTCACACTACAATATGTGTCTGGCCCAGTGTACTCGGATACTGCTGAATGAGCCAGCTCACCACAATCATAGATGAAATATAACAGCATCAGCTCGTGTAATATACAAATGTAGGTGTGGCATTAAACAGGCTGACCCTAACCCTGTAACAACTTCATGTTAATTGTTAATTTGGCAACACGGCACTTATTATCAATAGATTTGATGTTACGGTAAATAGAAGCATATTAAACAGCAAATAGCTGCATCCAAAAACTATTTTTTCAGTACTTTTGCACTGTGCACTAACTCAAGGATGTGACGCCAAAAAGTGGGACCTGGCAGGCGAAGAAAACAGGATGTGTCTGATATGAATGTGGGGGTGCAGATAACCTGAGGTTGTGCTCAAATTTGAAAATGTTGTTTTTTATTGACTGAATAGTGGGAGATTTTAAACCCTTTTTAAAAATATACCTGATTGTTATGGCCAACAGCTTCTCGCCGATAGTGCAGTATAGTAGAAGGACTGACTGTTGCTGACAGTCAGCAGTAAATGCGTGCTCTTGAGATTTGAAACTTCATTTGGGTTAACTTAATTTAAGTTATTTCATTCTTAATGCTTAATAGTATTGCCCTGCTGAGGATTACTTCACTTGTGGTGACGATGTGTGAAGAACTACTTGTCCTCCACTAATCCTACAGTACTCACAAGCACTTCACCCACTTGTTGTATTCCAAGGGTGGTTTGTTGGCAAACGAGCTACATCCAGACAGAACTCTTCCTTCATGTCATTTGTCAGACTTCAGTGCAGCTGAAGCACTTCAGATTTCCATTTTCCATGTATAAGAAGTAGTTTTGTAGGATTTAGCACATTGAGTGTTTCATTCAATGAGTAGTAGTGTTACCTTTTTATCTCACCTGAGCCTGGCCGAAACGGCCAACAACAACAACAACACAGGACAGCGATTCAGAAATAATCTCTCTTAATCCTCCTCCTGTCTGCTCTCTGCTTTTCAATTCTTACCGGCCCAGGGTGCTTTAGGAGGAGACGGGTGATTGCCTCATTGGATAGATTAGCTGCTGTGTAGAGGAAGTTTGCCACCTAATGGTGAACATTACATTACAAGCACTACAATTTTATTTCATACTCTCTCTCACTTAGTTCATATGTATCCTCTTATTTATTGTTAAATGTAAAATGGGAATTTTCTTGGTCCATATTCTGGTGCATGTGTATTACTTTACAATTAACTACTTTTTGAAATACCCTTACAATTCGTTTAGATGATCTATTTGTATTGAATATATATATATATATATATATATATATATATAATTAGATATTAAATACTGTATTGAATTGACAATTTATACATGTTTCTCTCATCTGTTTTCCTCTTCAGGTCCAGTACCCCCCACATTTGAGGCTTGAATCGTGTTCAACCTTGTTGCACTACAGTCAGTTGCTGTAGCCTGTAGCTTCATGGAGGGGTTTCCTGTCCACTGACTCAGCACGCTGCCTCACTGGACCAGCAGCCATGTCTGCCTGCAGCACCTTCACCGAGCATGTGTGGAAACCAGGCGAGTGCAAGAACTGCTTTAAACCCAAGAGTTTGCACTGCCTGGCGCAGGGCAGTGGAGGGAGGCCTCCAGCCGAGCAGAGGTCACCAACAATTCCACAGCAGAATCCAACCCCCGCTGGAGCCAGAGCCAACACTAATCTTACCATCAGCTCCCAGAGGGCTGGCAGTGGGTCTGCCCGCTCAGGACACTTCCGTCCACCAGTGGCTAAGAAGCCAACAATAGCCGTTAAACCCACCATGATGCTGCCCTGCTCGTCTGCAGGACTGGATTCAGATGGCAACCTGCAGCAACCAACAAATGTTTTAGAGCTGGGCAAAACGTCAGCCTTCACGGTCTGGAACCGCAATGGACTGAACTGTAAGGGGCCTGGTGGGCCCAGTAACAACAACGAAGGAGAACATGGCACCAAGGAGATTGAAGGTTATGGACTCCTTAGCCCAAGGACCCCCAGTGGAAATAACAACAGTGGACTTACAGATGTCCTAAAAGAAATCGCTGGGTTAGGCCCTGGCCCCAGCAGCCCACCGCTTTCCGGTTCCAAGGACTTGTTTTGGGGAAGAATCAATAGTTCATACCGCCGGTCGTTGGAAAGAGGCCTTCCAGCGTCAAGCTGCCTGGCCATGGGAAGCATCTGCGGTGGTGGCGGCCCTGCTCCAAAGCGGGTGTTGCTTAGTGATAGCTCTGAGGTCATCAGCACAGAAGGTGGTCGCTTTTGCTACCCCGACTTTTCCAGTGAAAGTGAAGATGATGATGAGGAAGATGAGGACGACGAAGAGACTGAAAGGGAGGACGATGAACACGAAAGCTGGGACGAAAGTGATGAGGAGTTACTAGCCATGGAGATCCGTATGCGAGGCCAACCGCGATTTTCCAATTTCCGTGCTGCCACAATGTCTCCGGTGCGCTTTGCTGCGGGAAAAAAGTGGAATACTGTGCCGCTTCGCAACCGCTCACTACAGCGGATCTGTGCAGTGGACTACGACGATAGCTATGATGAGATCTTGAACGGATACCCGTCAGTAGACTCGAATGGAGCCCTTCTTCCGTATGGGCCCCATGACATGCAAGGCAGTGGTTTCCTATCAAATTCGGAGTCTACCATGTCTCCGGAGTCGTCGTCATCGCGACCGGAGGATTCTCAAACAACTTTGAGCAGTGGGAGCAGTGCCCCCTTCACCCTTCCAAATGGCTTGCAATCTCCCACATCATCTAAGGGACCTGTGTTCTGCGCTGCTCCACCGAAGAAGGAGCCCGTCCACAGAGCACCGAGTCCACTTAAGGCGTCTGAAACACACAAGGCTGTCCTGGCCATTCGGTTGGAAGATCAGGACGGCAGAGAAGGCATGCCGATGCCCCTTGCCCTTCCTGGTCAACCCGTCACCATCAGTTTTAGCCCCACAGAGGAGCAGGCTAAACCGTACCGTATAGTGAATTTAGAAAAATCCCAGATCTGCAAGCCTTACACTGTCGTGGACGTATCGGCATCTATGGCCAACAAAGATGAACAGACTCTCGACTCTACTCCAAAACCCCGAAACTTGTCGAAGCCTTCCAGCCCCTCATCGTTTTGTAGCACACCTTTAGGTCACCTCCTGTCTCCAGGCTCCCCTCTCGCTCCTTCTTCTCTTGTGCTGCCAACATCACCCACATCTGTAGCAATGCCAGGTAGCTCCCGCAAGAAATCAGGGAACATACGCTACCAAGAAGTGTGGACATCAAGCACAAGTCCTCGCCAAAAGATACCTAGAGTGGACTTGGAGGTTGGCAGCAATCCTTGCCCCTCTGTCCCAACTCAACGCTGCAGCCACAAGTCAGCTCCAACTTCTCCAATCTCTGGGCTGTCTTCATCTCGAACTGTACCTGTGAAATCTTCCAACTTATCTGGGATCAAGTTCAACAGTTTCAATAATGCAGGCATGCCTCCGTTTCCCATTATAATTCGAGATGAACCAGCCTATGCCCGCAGTTCCAAGAATGCTGTTAAGGTACCTATTGTTATCAATCCAAATGCATATGATAATTTAGCTGTTTACAAGAGCTTCTTGGGACTCAGTGGGGAACTGCCTCAGCCAAAAGGGGGAGGTAGTCGGGTCACAAGCCATACTTACGAAGAGATTGGGTCCTCTGAGAGTGTCCAGTCCTCATCGACAGAGAAAACAATCTCTGGTAAAGGCACATCGGAGAAAGTCTCTTTTGAAGACACAAAGGCTCCCCCTGAGGCAGTGTTCAGGGCACCAAATCTTAAAACCACTACAGACTTGAACACTGTGATGAACTCCATAGTTGGAGCGCTGTCTCCGACTACATCAGCGAATCACCCTGCCATTACTGCAAACCCACCTAAAACCAGCCCCGCCGCCAACGACGTTGCACACACTTGCAAGACAAGTGAGGACGTTCTTTGCAGTAAAGATGGCAATAAAGAATTTGCCATGTCCTCTGGGACAGTGGCCAGCCATAGGGAGGAGGCCAGTGCTGTGCTTTTACAAATTGTTGCCTCCATTCAGCCTCCGCAGTCTCCTCCGGAGTCGCCCTTGATACAACACAATAACGACAGTTCCGAGGAGCTTTACGCCCTCCCACCCGATGCCATGAAGGAAAACCTCGCCCGGCCCAAGTCTCTTTTTTTCACAGCTGATGGCTGTCTTTCCAAACCCAAGAAGGACCCGCCCTCCAAAGTGTTGTCCAAATCCCAGAGTGCCTCTGCTGCTGTCCCACCCTCCAGCCCCCGGTCACAGCCGAATGCCCCCTTCCCCCCTCCTAGATCTACATCTTCCCCGTACCACGCTTCAAACATCCTCCAGAGACATTTTGGCAACTGGACCAAGAGTTCTGCCTCCAGTTCTCCTGTACGACCAATTGAAGGTGAGGCGAGTCCAGTTGGAGAGGGGAAACGTATTTTGACAGAAAGCGCCAAACCCAAACGCTGGATCTCCTTTAAGAGCTTCTTCCGTCGGCGGAGAGATGAGGATGAGCAGAGGGAGAGGGTGGAGAGGGAGAAGGACAAGGGCAAGCTTGTTGGTCTTGACGGAACAGTCATTCACATGCTTCCACCACCACCTGTCCAACAGCATCATTGGTTCGCGGAGGCCAAAGCAGAGGACCCCACACAGAAGCCGACCATCATCTTTACGTACAAACCAGAAAGTGGAAGCAGCCCTGGTGACGGAGAAGGAGAACTAAGAGTGGAGGAGTGCAGAGATGCTCTGCTGACACCAAATGAGAGCAAAGAATCCGGCACCCTGAGCCCTGGACGAACATCCCCTCTCATCAGCAAGGATTTCAGGTATTTATCCAGCCTTGTCCACGCTTTCTATCTCCCTTCTGATGCCTCTGTATTGGCAGGTACTCTGTGACCAGAGTGAAGCTTTGTGACAGCAGCAATTCCAAGTTAGTCGGTAATCTGTAATATGCTACACATGGATGGGGTTTCAGATACTCAACACGCCCAGATAATCCCAAACCCAGAAATAACAAGATATATGTATATACTTATCTTTTGTAATTAGTGAGGATTTATTGGGATAGTTTCACATTTAATATGTTTCTCTAAGGCCTATAGTAGAATTCCACACATGCTCTTCCCTCATCACCTCTCTGATTTAATAAGCTATTTCACATCCAATGCCTGCATGGCTTTACCCTCATGCATTCCCTTCAACGCATTCATGGCACCCAGCTGATAATGAAGATGCTCAACCTTTGCCAGCCGCTCCTCCAAAGTGCCCCAAAGTGCCTCTCGCGATCTTACAGATCGCTCATCACAGATTCCAGAGGTGTTTGATCTTAATTTGACATGTGTCTGCCCGCCCACTTCCAGTGCCAATTGCATGGACCGTAACGGCTTACGTGGTCTCCTCCTTAATGCCGTCTATTACCTGAACAGCAGGCTCTGTGCTCGGCGGTTCCCTCCTCCCAATGGGACCTCACGGCGCGTTACTAGTCATCCATCAGCAGTCGGATTGCCTTATAGTCACTGATTTAGATATTCCCTTCAGCTCCTAACATTACATCAAAGCCATCAATTGTTTGAAAGGGTTTTCTAGCTGTTATTTCGTTTATTTTCGGTATGTGTTGTGGTGTGAATGCGTGGTGGTGTGTATGGAGTGTGGCGATGGGTGAGGCCCAACCGGTCGGTGAGGGGGTGAGTGTGGCGATGGGTGAGGCTCAACCGGTTGTCTGGTGAGTGTGGGGACGGGTGAGGGGGTGAGTGTGGCGATGGGTGAGGCCCAACCGGTTGGTTTGGTGAGTGTGGGGACGGGTGAGGTCCAGCCGGTCGGTCGGGGGGGGTGAAGGAGTGAGTGTGGGGGTTAGTGAGGGGACGGGTGAAGCCAAGCTGGTCGGTCGGGGGGTGAGGGGGTGAGTGAGTGAGGGAGTGAGTGTGGGGGTGAGTGAGGGGACGGGTGAAGCCAAGCTGGTTGGTCGGGGGGTGAGGGAGTGAGTGTGGGGGTTAGTGAGGGGACGGGTGAAGCCAAGCTGGTCGGTCGGGGGGTGAGGGAGTGAGTGTGGGGGTTAGTGAGGGGACGGGTGAAGCCAAGCTGGTCGGTCGAGGGGGTGAGTGAGTGAGTGTGGGGGTGAGTGGGGGGGACGGGTGAAGCCAAGCTGGTCGGTCGGGTGGGTGAGTGAGTGAGGGAGTGAGTGTGGGGGTGAGTGAGGGGACGGGTGAAGCCAAGCTGGTCGGTCGGGGGGGTGAGTGAGTGAGGGAGTGAGTGTGGGGGTGAGTGAGGGGACGGGTGAAGCCAAGCGGGTTGGTCGGGGGGTGAGGGAGTGAGTGTGGGGGTGAGTGAGGGGACGGGTGAAGCCAAGCTGGTCGGTCGAGGGGGTGAGTGAGTGAGTGTGGGGGTGAGTGGGGGGTTGAATGTAGCCCAGCGGGCGGGTCTCGTGTGTGACTGAGTGAAAGAGGGGATGGGGGTCCAACAGGAAGGTGAAGGAGCTCGGGGGGCGCTCGTTGGTGGGGTTGGTGTTCGAGGTGGAATCTCCGATAGCGAGGAGGGGGGTGGGTTTTAAGGTCCCCCAACTGAAGAGGAAATCGAGGGCCAGCAGAGGTGCTCTCAGCCAGAGAGGGGGGAGGGGGGAGAGTCAGTCCTCTTCGGGGTGGGGCTCTGCCACCAGCATCTTCTCGGGTGGGACGGTCACCAGCAGGTACGGGATGGGGCAGATGAAGGAGTTCCTGCTGGCCACCAAGAACGAGAGAGGAGTGAGGGTGGAGGACTATTTCTCCGACATGGAGAAGTTCGCTCGCTCGGCATGGCAGCACAAAGAAGGGGGCTGGAGAGTACACCCAGCAGGAGGTCTTCCGACTGAGCAAGCTCCTCCTAAAGATCACCAAGGAAGGAGGAAGCACCGCCCAGCTAAGGAGGATCCTGAGCGGGGGGCCCACTGACAGAAGGAGATGCTGGAGGAGACCAGATCGACTTTGATTATATATACTAAATTGATTATTCTATATATATTTTAGATTACATACCTGCCATATTGTCGTCTTATTGACATTGTTTTATGTAAAATAAAGATCTCTCACATGCACACAGAAATTAATTTGCAGCCACCGGTCGACTTGGCAGTGTAGTATTTGCTGTATTCTTGCATTGTTAGTCTTTGACCTGCTGTTGGGCTCACCCTCCTGCATAGTCTGTAATGGTCCCAGATAAAGATGCCACAGATGTGCCAAATACACTTCATTTTCTATCCTAAATTCTAATCTTGTTTCTGCGATCCGTCGGATGAATGCTCGTTAATCATGAAAGCCATTGAGTAAAAGTAGCGATAACAGTGTGAAGCACTAACGAGCGAGACAGCGAGTTGGGTCCTTGTTTTAGCACAATATTTACAAGCGTACCGTCTGACATCAGATTTGTGCGTGATTGGATTAATTAATGAAGTAGACTAGATTCAAATAAGCAACTGCTGTCTTATTTTAAATTTCGGTCATCCGCACCACCTTTGGGCCGTATTTTCAGTGTTCCCCACCCATCGGAATACAAATGTATGACGCAAACTGTTGAATGTTCTAAAAGCCAACAAAAGAAAAGGACCTTTAGTCACAGCAAAGCCTGTGCTGTTGGAGTGGACTACTCTAAACTCAAACATCACAGTACTTCCTCACTGGGTCACGGCACATTCCCATTCAGGTTGTGAACTGAAGCCAGGCGCTGTGCAGCTTTTGGACTTTGGTGTATTGTGGGCCATGTAATTGCTGAGTGTCATTGAGCTCCCAATATGTTTCACCAAATGCTTCCCACAGCCTCTACTGGGTAGAAGTAGCACATTCGTCAAACTTCACACAGTTTAGCTCATGGTCAACTTGTTCAGACGTTCTACTCCCCTGATCCGTCCTGATCCACTGTCGGCTCTTTGTTGTTGCTGCCATGTGTCTATTATCCGTATCATCGTATGGGTTTTCCATTGTACTGGCCATCACTGTCTCCATTTGGTGTCATGTCTGCTCCATGCCACGTTTCTGTCCTGTGAGCTCTTGAATATTTCTCTCCTCCAGACCTTGTCGCCATTCTGTCTCCGTCGCAGCTTCACAGCTTTTTCCCTGCGCCTAAAGCTTCAGCACTCATCTAGTTCCTGTCTGTCTCTACTCCTACTTTCTAACAAGGGGTACAAGAACCAAGAATGAACTTATTTTTAATGTGGGATGCCTAGGTAATGACATGCTAAAACTGCGTATATGATGGAGTACTGCATGTATTGAAGAGAATTTTTACAATTAGTTTTAGTTGCTGCTGTATTCTAAACCACACATTCACATGCTGTCTGGCCACTCTGACAGTATTCGTAGGGTCACTTTAAGCAGACTGGATTTAATATGTCACACTTTAAATCAACTTTGGCCCAGTGTGCCCTATTTTCTTTAACACCTGTTTACAGCCTCCACTATGAACTTGTTAATGATTGACTCATTTGATCACCTGACGTGTTGTATGTCACATGTCAGGTAGAGTGAGGTTTTGGGTGCTCCATGAATAGCAACTAGGTAAAGCTCGCCCTCGGTGTGTGATGGCGTGACCAACTCAAAGGCAGCAGGAGGAACATTCTGTGGCAGCTAGTCTGATTGTTTTAACTGCAGTCCCTCCAGTTTCAAAGAAGGTTGTTGTTCTCTTTGTGCATCAAGTACTGGAGCTTTAAAGTCATTTGGAGAAAAAATCATTTGTGCAGCCAAAGCTGTTTCTATACTGAGCTTTATAGTAGCTATTTTTAGCCCCGCATGCTTGTATTTGCACTCCTTTCCCGACAAATTGTAATATTGCATCTCTCCATGTTAAAAGAAATTGCCTTTTGGTGCAAGAAAAGGTCTTCAAGTTTGACTTGTCTCTGGGGGAACAGACCAGCAGGTCACCCGGGTCATTGTACAGACCTTTTCTGTGGACGAGCAGCTGAAGAGTTAAGTGTGTGTGTGTGTGTGTGTGTGTGTGTGTGTGTGTGTGTGTGTGTGAGAGAGAGACTAGAAGCCATTTTATTATCTTACTGTGGGCGTGCTCTGCAGCTCTAACACACACTACCTTAGGCAGGTAAAGCGCATTGAAAGAGGGACACGAGGAAAGAACACACGCAGGAAAATACTTTTGGACTCTTCACAACTCGCCCTCTTTAGAATGTGAATCGCCCTCAGCTTGCAGATGGGAAGCTGTGTGAGCCAGTACAGTGGGTAAGAGTCTTTTCTCTTTGTCTGTGACCACCTCGGCCATTTCTAGTGCTTCCAAGTTGTTTTGAGCCCACGTAGGGAGTGTTGTGGATCAGAGCAGCAGAGGTTTGTGAAGCTTTGCGCCGTCTGAACAAGTCAGGTCCTGACATTGAGACGTGTAGCAGCCATAAAGGTATTTATTCTTTCGAGGACCTCTGGAGGTGTGTGTGCACACCGGATGTTTTGTTCAAACAGCATTAGGTTCTGGGAATGGTCTTCTTCAGGAGGTCTTGTAGCCTGTAATCCATCCATTGTTTGGTTATCTGTAGGATTTGGATTACTTGTTCCCATGTGTACGGTTGGTCCGGTTACTTAAAACCAGAGCCGTGTTCTGACGACTCTTCTTGTAGACAATACAAGCAAGAATCACCTTACTATTCTGCATCCATTATAGAACACTTTATTACACTAGATGCTGGTTTATTTATCACTTTGAATCATTCTCTACGCCTCCGTCTTATCACAGTTTACTTACTCTCCGTTTTGTAGTCAGATCACAACATTATGTGCGTCTTTATATCAACTCTTCTGTTAGCAAGTGCAAAGGTGTGGCAACTCTGAGGCTATTGGTGGCCCCTCTGTAGAGGAGACGCAGTGAACATGTCAGATCTGTTCCTCACACAGAGAAGGCACATGGCCGTCTGGGTTCTTCTTTGAGTGATACTTTTTCGATCACGTTAAAGTAAAATACAGCTTCAGCTTCATGTGAAACAGTTGTCACCAAAAGGGCAATTCAAAAGCATTTTCACAGAAAGACTGTTTTTCAGATTAGCTTCTGTGGTTTTTGGAAGGACGTGATGATATTAGAGCCGAGCTTAACCGTGGAATTTAACACTCTGTATTTCAAGTCTGACCGTGCCAGCTTCCGTTTCAGCACGTCGATACACTCTGAGTACGACAACCAGCTTGTGGGCGATGAAGCTTTTTCTTTTGTTCCTATTTGTGCACAGCGCCCTTATTAAAAGAGTGTGCTTCAGGCTGATCTTTACTTTTGTCATCATATAACACATTAGTCATATGAACAACAGGCAAAGGCCCCGCCCATCACAACGCCTGCAGCTATCGATCCAGCGTCACCCAACATCAGTAAACAACAAGACATCTGAAGGTTGGAGCAGCCGGCAGGGACGGACCCTCGGCGGGTGCTGTGTGTGGTCCAATCGGGTGGTTCAGAATGTCAGCCGGCCTGCGGGGGCCACGGCCCAGGTGGCTGAACTGTTCTCAGATCAGAGGGCAGCAACCAGGTTTCTTATTTACTGTGATCAGAATGATCCCAGATGGCTGTCGATGAAACGCTGGTATTTTTGGTGCAGCTGCAGTCGGTCTTCATTCAAGTTATATATGCTGAAATGAAACATAAAGGCAGGCCTTGTGTTTTAGAATACCAAACTCCTTACTGCTCACATGGATTTTTTGGTTCACATCAACGCCACTGCAATTTAAACCCATTAGTCGTCAGACTGGGAGGTTCAGTTTTATTTATTTTTGTATTCTGTGTTCCAGCTTCAGAGTGCGTCAATACAAGACAACTCAAAGACTGCTAAGCGTCTCGTTTTAGTTTGATCACGAGGTGTGATGATTAGGTGACAATCTGCTACAGGAGATGAAATTCATCTCCCCTCATGAAACACCTCGGATCAGATACCAGATACCCGCTTGTTCTTACCCCCCTTTATTTCCCCACACTAATATTGGATAGTTATATATATAATATTCTATATTGGAGCTCGCTATGGTCTCCCTGTTCTTTCATGACTTGTTTTTTTTCACGCAGAATTAAACACCAACAGAAAAACAACTAGATTTACGAACCAATGGACAAAATGAAACGATGGAAATTTGATCAGACTTTCCTCTCTCTGTCATCTGCAGCCGGGTACCAGTCGGTGCAACCAGCGCCAGGGATCAGGTGCCGCCCAGTGCCGCCTCCCCTCCCGCCAAAGTGAATCTTGCCCTGCTGCTCGGAGAGGAGGAGGGAGCCCACGCCAGTGTGGTCTGCGCCTCAGCCAGCGAGGGCAGCGCCAGCCTCGGAGAGTCGGAGGAGGACGGGAGTCACTCCCATCGCTCCCCGTCTCCCGCCTCCAGCCACTGCAGCGCCACGTACACCAACCTGGGTAAGAAGGAAGGTTTCACCAATCCTTACCCTTAACCAAAATAAGGTTTGAATGAAAATGAATCTTACCTCAGAATCATCAACACCTCGTTCAACACCTCGTTCAACAAGTCGTAATTTATTCCTTGTTAAACATCTGTTCTATGTTCTAACTTTTGACACATCGTATGATGTTAATGCAGTTGTGGGGCGACTGTGGGTGAGTGGGGAGCAGGTCGTCCTCCAATCAGAGGGTTGTCGGTTCCATCCCAGGCTCTGCTGACCCGCATGTCCATGTGTCCTTGGGCAAGACACTTAACCCAACATGGCTCCTGTAGCTGTGACTACAGTGTGTGGATGTTAGTGACTGATGGGCAGGTGTCACTGTGTGTGGTTCTCCTGTCATCAGGGTGTGAATGGGTGAATGATGTCATCAGGGTGTGAATGGGTGAATGATGTCATCGGGGTGTGAATGGGTGAATGATGTCATCGGGGTGTGAATGGGTGAATGATGTCATGTAGTGTTAAAGCGCTTTGATTGGTCAGAAGACTAGAAAAACGCTGTACAAGTACAGTCCATTTACCATTTGTAACTTACTGAATTTCTCCTCTTTGTGGGGCTGCTTGTGTCCTGGCTCGGCCCGGATCAATGCCCCCAGGGGCATGTGGGGGCGTACAAACAATCCTGTTTCCATCTAGAAACAGCTTTTTGGCTTATTAACTCTGCGTGCGGCTCGACTGCCCACAGAGCGGCTATTAGCATCATTAGCTTTTACCCTCATATCTCCGACTATTACCATGTCTTTGTTCTCTTAATATTCCTATTCTGACATATAAACGTTCACGTCCACTTTGAAAAAGGCTTCATCACCTCTTCAGCATCAATTCTTTCCGTCTGTACTGTAGTGCACATAGACATACATAGACAGACAAGTTGTGTAATTGGACGTGTGACTACGTCCTTGCTTGTGGCGGATGTTGAATTTATCAAATATATGAGTTTTGTTTACATATAAAACGTCAAAATCAATAAATAAACGACAAATAATTTAACAATAAAGTCCCGAATTGATTTGTGTTCTCCACAGCATACTGTCTCAATGCTTGTGGTATTCTACACGGACACCAAACTGATGGCTTCAAACAGCCTTTGAGCTTTTAGAGAATAGTGTTATGAGTGGTTAAAAATAACCACCTGGGAAAGAGGAGGCAATGTGCAGATATTTTCTTTTTGAAAGCAAAAAATCCAAATGTCAAGAGCCTTTCATTTTTTCTTTATTCCTGAAGTGTCTCTGCAGCTCACAACAACAGACATCGCCATAGAAACAAATCTATATTCAATAAACCACGATGCCCAAATGCCACTCAAACACTCAAGTACCACGATGACAAGGTTCCTCCTTTGGGGGCCGGGGGGCGTTTCATCGCTGGCTGTGTCGGCGACGGATGGGTCCTCCCTCCCCCTCTCTCTCTCTCACACATCTTGGTGGAGGACTGGCGTCACTCGGTGTCTCTCTAACCCGTGTGTGGCACTGGGTGGGCAGCGGGGGGCTCCGCACTCACTCTCAGGGCTGAAAGCAGAGAGCAACGTTTCACTCTGCGCAGCTGCTGCACCGCGTCCACCCAAAAACTTTGCGTCATTAGTGGATCTGAGGTAGGCTTGTTCTTCCTCCTCCTCGCTCGGTATTTGTCTTTTTGACCCCCCAGTCCCTCCTTGGTGTCTCTGCTCGTGTGCCTCCTATTCACCTCTTTTCCTTTGTCTTCTTTCTCTTTTATCACGTCTTTGTTGCTCCCCGTGTTCCTCTTTATTCTACCCACTTCCTCCATCAGCCGCGGCAACAAGTTCCTTCAACAAACGCTGGTGACTGCTGCTCGCTGGAATTCAAATTGATTGATGTATTTTTAATACGATTTTATTTACATTTTAGACGTCGGTACATTTTTATATCACTTTGAGGATGTGACTAAATGGTTGATTGTTTTGTACCACAAATCATGAATCCGGCCTCTGAACCTCACGTGGAGGAAATGGAAAAAGGGTTGTTTTAGAAACTTAGGTTTTAATTTTTTTATTTTCGAACAATTTTTAAAAGAATTAAAATTCCCAACTTTTTTTTCTTTTAAAATTTCCCAAAAAAATTTTTTTCCAAACCCCACCGTTTTAAAAAAAATTTGGTTTTTTATTTTCCCCAATTTTTTTTTTTTAAGGTCCCCTACCCCATTTAAGTTTCACTCCCCCAAAAAGAAAAAAACCCCCTTTAAAAAAAAATTTTTCTAAAATGAAAAAATTTTAAAAATTTTTTTTTAAAAAAAAATAAAAACCCCCCCTTTTTCCTCAAAAAAAAATTTTAAAAAATTGGCCCCCGGAAATTTTTTTTTTTTGGTTTGGATTTCCCCAAATTGGGGGGGAAAAAAAGGCCCCCCCCCCCCCCCCCCCCCCCGTTGCAGGGAGGATTACGAAGACTCATTTAACTTCATCCTGGCAGCGCTGTTTTAGGGCCTCATTTGCTTTCTTAAGATGATGGCAGCGTGATGCACACGTGAGGACTCGTATCATTCGACAGAAATTGACCAGTAGCACTTTGTTAACGCAGCAGCTTTCAGCGTGAGGGGGGGCATTTAGCAGAAGATGTGGCTCAGTCGTCCTCAAACACCAGGCGGCCTCTCTTCTGTGCAGGTGGTCGGTGACCTCGTGCACCCTTTCAAAAGCTAAAGCTCGGGCTGGCTCGTTCCCCTCGTGCATCAGATACTTGTCTTCGACCCATCTGCCTCTATGGTCTTAGAGGATTCCAATCAACCCCCTCCCCCGATTCCCTTCCACCAGAATCCCAGAAAAACCAGGTCAGTGACGTGCTCTCCACGAGGCCTCTTTAAGCCTCGCTGCGGGTCGGGCAGCTGGATGGTTGCTGGGTACGACTCGTCTCCAGCTGTCCCGCTCTCCGGCTCGAATCCTCCTCGGGGGGCCATCGGTGCCCTCAGGTGCCGCAGTGCACAACCTCGTGTCAGCCCCTCGGGGGGGGTTTGGCACGGTGAGCGGCAGGACATTCGACAACATGTAAAAACGCGATCTGCAATGAAGTGCAGCTTTAGAATAAATGCAGTGGAGTGAAAAGATACAAGATAACAGTCAGAAATGCCCTGGATTTGAAATAGTAAACTGCCTCTTGCCCCCAAATTGTATTTCAATGTCGTATTCCACATTCTTCTCTTCGCAGTACACACTTTTTGTCTTTCTTTCCCTGCAGGTCAATCCAGAGCCAACATGATCCCACTGAAACAGCCAAGGAACATCAAATCCTCCAACGACACCTTGGCCTCCATGGACCTGGATGGCTTCTCTGAGCAGCCTGCCCCGAAGGCCACGCCCCCACCACTACCCAAGAAGGCCGTGCCCCGCTCCAGTACCGAACCCAACCTGGCGGGCAAAGAGTCGCTCCTGAGACTTCGCGCAGAGGCGAAACCCGGGGGCACCAACCTGAGCGTCGCCAACCCCATCTACGACTTGGACTCCACCTGGGAGACGGCGAGCCAGGATTCCTCTCTCAGCTCCGAGCCTCAGTGGGCCCGCGGGCACGAGAGCGGCGACTCGTTGGAGAGACCCACGGCCGCCACGCCCACCGACAGGGGCCGCCCGAGCTACAGCACGTCCTCGCTGGTCGCGCAGCTGTCTGCTGGAACCGGCGCTGAGAGGAGGGCCTACCCGAGCACAGAGTCCCTGGCTGGAAGGGGCCGGACAACGGGCCGAGGCGCTGCTGCCGCCGGAGGCCCCAAACCCCAGAGGGCCGCTCTGTACAGGGGGTTAGACAGCTGGGACGAGGTGGTGGGGAAGATCCGCGAGCTGCACACCGACACGCTGCGGAAACTTGCACCAAGTGCGAGGACCGCTTCATGGCCGGTCAGAAGGACCACTTGGGATTCGGCACAGACAGCTGGTCCCACTTCAGGCTGACCACCGGGAAACCTGCTGTGAGGCGGGGGACGCCGTGTACTACACCGCCTCCTACGCCAAGGACCCGCTGGTCAACTACGCCATCAAGGTGAGGTGTCTGACTTCAAGAATCCCTTGAATTTGTGTCCCTGGGGCGACGGTGGTGCATGGAGAGGACACCGCAGGGTTGTCCTGGCCGCTCCATGTCCCATGTCCAAGTGTCCCTGACCAAGACAGCCAGCCTTTACGGCAGCACACTGCTCCCACTGTGCAGGACGGGTTAAATGCAGAGAACAATTCCCTGTATGTGTAAAACAATACTAATGCTCTAAAGCAGTGATTCCCAAAGCGTGGGCCGCGAAGGTACTGCAGGTGGGCCGCGAGAGGTCATTTACAATAAATAAATTAAAAGGTTTTAATTTTCAATTTTGAAAAGTTTGAAATGAATATAAAAATATGTATGATGCGGCACGTTAGTTATGTGAAACATTAATTGATGAAGCACAAACAATTTAAACAAACAGATTGGTTAATCGGTTGATCCATACTGGTTGTACACGGCGCTCAAGGCGCTCTGCCAAACATGACAAAGCTCGTCTACGACGGCGAGATGCTGAGCGGCGCTGAGCGGCAGCGCGTGAGATATGGAGCTGCTTTCAGGGCGCGTCGGAGAAACAAAGCTGTCGTTCTCGCCGAGCACTTCATGAGATTAAAGAGCGAGAGACGGCGCCCTTTTCTCTACAGTAGCTGAACCATCTTAACGGGGAAATAAGTTATTCTAAAAGCAGCCGGAGATTTAAGGCGTGGATGGCGAGGGGGGCGGCGGGAGCGGACGCACCTTAAAGCATCCATCGGACCCTGAAAGCACCGTCTCCACCGTTTGTGCAAATCCAGAGGGAGGCGGTGCGCTTTAAAGCTACTTAGTATCTCTGGAATGTCACAATCAATGGATATGTCTGTTAACCTGGCGCTTTATGTAACAAATAGCAGTACTGCTTTATAGATATGGTTGAAAAATCTATCTGCTCCTCTCTGCTCCTCTCTGCTCCTCTCTGCTTCTATCTGCTCCTCTCTGCTCCTCTCTGCTCCTCTCTGCTTCTATCTGCTTCTATCTGCTCCTCTCTGCTCCTCTCTGCTCCTCTCTGCTCCTCTCTGCTCCTCTCTGCTCCTCTCTGCTTCTATCTGCTCCTCTCTGCTCCTCTCTGCTCCTCTCTGCTTCTATCTGCTCCTCTCTGCTCCTCTCTGCTCCTCTCTGCTCCTCTCTGCTTCTATCTGCTTCTATCTGCTCCTCTGCTCCTCTCTGCTTCTATCTGCTTCTATCTGCTCCTCTCTGCTTCTATCTGCTCCTCTCTGCTTCTATCTGCTCCTCTGCTCCTCTCTGCTCCTCATACGGGTCATTAACAGAAATGTTCTCAGAGAAAACGTCTCTGAGGTCTTTGGTGTGTTCGCTGCTCAAACGGATAATGGTGGTTCGGTGTTACTGTTCCAGTGTTAATCTTGGCAGCTATTTTTGATTTAGTCTTTCGACGAAAATGCATTTTCATTTCAGTCACATTTTAGTGCTTAGTTTTAGTCACATTTAATAGCCATATTGTAGCACTTCTATCAAAAGGATCCACCTGTCACGGGTGCGCGCCTCTATGTTGCCCACGTAACGAGCGTACGGTGGCCGAGACGGTTTAACGTCTTCTCACGATGTGGCGCGTGAACTCCAGTTAGAAATGCGTGAGGCTTCAGAACCTGCAATGAGTTTATTACGTTAGACGCGTTTGTAACGGAGCGTCTCATCCAGCGAGGAAACGCTGCCTGCCGTCGCCAGAGAACAGAGCAGAAAGGTCCGACGGTCTTTAAACGGGTCTTCATGTTTCTGTGAAGCAGCGCGGCTTCAGCCCGCTAACAGGCAGCTAACCCGAGACAGCTGAGCTAAACTGAGCTAAACTAACGAAGCCGCGTTCAAAGTCACCGAAGCGTAAAATAGTCGTCGCGGTCCGTAGTCGGTGCACAAGAAGCACCGCTGGGTTCGTGGATGACGTCATCATGACGCGTTAATATCCGCCGTTAAACTACAATAAACAATAGATAAAGAATTACAGCTGCCACGTGGCCAGTGAGACTCGTTACTCGCCACAGCCGGATTCTACCCGGGTGCTGCGGTCCAGTCCTGCTAGAAGTACGTTTCCTTTTAAGTGCTACTAACATTGAAATGAAAAAGAGTATCAACATTTTCGTCTCGTTAACGAAAGTTGGAATAGATTTAGTCATCGTTTTTATTTTCAAAGATCCGCTTTGGTCACGTCTGAACACTGCTGTTGATTTCATCAAAATCTGCAGCGATCTCTGGACAGTTTGGAGCTTCAACCATGAGTTTTCATCTTTTAGAAGTTGGTGTCATTGTTCTTCTGGTCTATTCAAACCCCGAAACATTTCAATTCTTTTTACAATAAAACACACATGCACATAACTGAGAGCAGCCCCACAACATGTCTCCCCTATCCAGCCAACTTAGGGTTGGACCTGGTGAGACGCGTGGCTCATTGGTGCCTCTTTAATGGCTAGTGTACCCCATTGAGCTCCATAGCGTCCATTGTCTTTTCACAATGAAAACTGAAAGAACTCTTCTCTGTCACGTCTCCAGATCTGTCGCAGCAAAGTGAAGGAGACCCAGCAGCAGTTCTTTCACAGCCTGGCAGTGAGGCAGAGCCTGTCCGTGCACTTCAACATTCAGCAGGACTGTGGACACTTCCTGGCCGACGTGCCCGCGCGCCTGCTGCCCTGGGAGGAGGACGGCGGCGAGCAGGACCATGTAGATGGGCTAAAGGAGAACGATATCAAGACTGTAACCGAGGAGACGGACTCCCCAGCGCCGAGCAGCAAATCGGATGAAACCCCGTCGGCCGGTCACATGAACGCTGTTGGCCGCTTGAGGAGCCGAGTGGTGGTCATCACCCGCGAGGTGCCCTTCCAGACGGTGGCGGACTTTGTCAGGGACGGCGTGGCGCGACACACTCACAACCCGGAGCTGTACGAGCGGCAGGTCTGTCTGCTGCTGCTGCAGCTGTGCTCGGGCCTGGAGCACATGAAGCCGTACCACGTGACCCACTGTGACCTGCGGCTGGAGAACCTGCTGCTGGTCCACTGCCAACCTGGCAACCCGTGGAACCTGGACGTCCTCGAGCCCAACAACAACAGCAGCAACGTCGGCGGCGGTTCCGGTGCGACCTCGGTCACCGCCGCCACCTGCCCGGCCCGCCTCATCATCAGTAACTTCTCACAAGCCAAACAGAAGAGCAGTCTGATGGCGGCCGACCCCGGGACGCTGCGCGACCAGTCGCGCCTGGCGCCCGAGATTGTCACGGCGACGCAATACCGCAAGTGCGACGAGTTCCAGACGGGCATCCTCATCTACGAGATGCTGCACCGGCCCAACCCCTTCGAGGAGACGCCGGAGCTGAAGGAGCGGGAGTACACGTGGGCGGACCTGCCGGCGCTGCCCGTCCGCTCGCTCTACTCTCAGGGCCTGCAGCAGCTCGCCAGGCTGCTGCTCACCGTCAACCCCTCCGAGCGCATCCGCATGTCTGAGGGCCGCGCCTGCCTGCAGTGCCTGCTCTGGGGCCCCCGGGAGGACCTGTTCCAGGCGCTGGGCTGCATGTCGGGGGCCGCGACCAGCCAGCGCGAGGCCACCCTCCAGAACTGGCTGGACCTGAAGCGGACGCTGATGATGATCAAGTTCGCCGAGCGCTCGCTGGACGCGGCCTGCGGCGTGAGCCTGGAGGACTGGCTGTGCTGCCAGTACCTGGCGTTTGCCACCACGGACACTCTGAGCCGGGTGGTGCACATCCTGCAGCAGCCGCAGCCACAGCCGGCCTCACAGAGCCAGAACCAGAACCAGCCAGCCCACGCAGGACCGAGCAAAACTCAAACACACGGCCTCCACCTGACTGAGTCACAGCCGCTGTGAGTTTCTGTTACTATGGAAACGGATCGCTCCCTCTGATGGAAGCTAATCGGGAGCTTTGTTGTTGCAGCCTCATTGTTCACTTCATCGCTTCTTTAAATGTTGAAGAGATTTAACAATTTAACATGTTACGTTATTCGAGCCACAGTTTAATGGAAAATAATTTCTTTTCTTTTTCTCTTTTTGTGTCAAAATTTTAGTGCGAACTTTGATACCCTCACAGTAGTTTAACCACAGCTGCATCAAAAGTTTGGACACTCAATGAGAAAGCGTCCAAACGTTTGACAGCAACTGAATTCATTCAAAAGATGAAGATGAAGGGAGGTCATTTATAATGAAGCATTGGGGAGAAACTATCCACATGTGATATAATCGAATCCGAGTGAGACATACAAATATGTTTGACCACTGTTACTAAAGATCTGCCACAACGTTTACACTTCAGTGGAGTTTATTACAAAATGCTCACATGAACTAGATGACAGCTGAGACTTTGTGAAATGAGATTTGAAAGTTCAAAAGCCCTCAAGTTGACCCTTGAAAGCTGCTGTTTTACAGCATCCTTTCTTTTCTTTCGGCTTTCCGTTTCCAGATGTTTTAGACGCTTTGAAGTGGAGCTGGGCCACATCTGCCCTGCATGCTGCGTTCTGGAGGGAGTATGTGCAATGAATGCCGCTTGTTTTATTAAAGGACTTCTTTACCGTTAGTTTTGTGGCACATAAACGGATTCTCATCGGCTCAGTGGAACTTGCAGGGACCGCATAGAGGGTCTTGGTCCATCTCGTTGGGTTTCGAGGGTGACGTTTGCACATTGGGCGCCCGGGGGAGCAGCAGAAGCCCAGAGGACGTTTGTTGGAGTTTGTTTTTCGCAGCGTGTGGAATGTAAAAGTTTGCCGTGAACTGAAAAGCGACAGTCGGAGCCGGTCTTGTCTGGAACCCATCTTCCAACTGAACCACTTAGTCCCACAGGTGAAAGCCCTCGGCCAATAGGAGGAGTCCATGCGATCGGCCCGTAGCGCTCAGCCCGCTTCCTGGGACGCCGTAACACACGCCTGAAGGCGTGGCAGCGCTCTGTTTACTTCAGGCGCCTTCCTGCCAACTCAGAATTCTCAAGTGCACGTCCTATTGGCTGGTTGCAGCTCAGCTTGTCACTGGGGGGGGGGGGGGGGGTACTGTGATCCCTTTTGCTGCAGACGTACAGTACGAGTCTGAGCGGTTGCTGCATTGAAGGCCGTGTGTGCGGAGTGTGTGTGTCCTCCACCTACAGATTCAAGCCTTTTTAAATAGTTTATGTAGTACGAACACGTATAACCCTCCTATTTTAACCCACACGCTATTTTGTCGAGTACAGAGCACCTCTTTCTGTCTAAATATCATGAATCCATTGTGAAGAGCTTTACTGGGCGTTCTTAGACGTCACTTGTGTCGGGGGGAAGGAAAAGGGGGTTCAGGGGGGCTGTGGAGTAGTTAACACCGTCCTAAACAAAGGACACATGAAAAAGATCTTATTCTGCAAGCAGCTCGCGGTCCGATTCATGTACAGAACCACGTGCAGTATTTTTACACCTTGTTCTCTGTCGAGGAGATGAACCACTTAGAAGGAAGACGTGTGAACGCACCATTAAAGCCAGCGCGCTCGCTCGCCCTCTCTCCCTCCCTCTCTCTCTCTCTTGCCCCCTCCCCCCACCCCCCCCCCCCCCCCCCCCCCCCCTCTCTCTCGCTCTGCATCGATTGCCACTGAACAGAAGAAACCAGAAGCTCTCTGAGGCTTTTCTATTAATATGTGTACAGTTTGTCTCGCGGCTTGACGCCATTTATTGTTGATCAAGTTATCCAACAGTAACAGAACAATAAATATATGTTTTTATATAAAACTGTTGTGCCATTGTGTTATTGCTGCTGTGCTGTGGCTATAGTCCATGTCCCTAATTACTGTCATGCAGACTGTTTGGCTCTCGATGGAGACGCTTCCCCGGTACGTGTGACGGATGTCTCCATGTGTGGACATACCTCATGGATGATTTCATGCAAAGCAGAAAATTCTTCTTATTGAAATCTTTCCTCGTACATAATATGGTGCGCTTGATTTAACCCCCCAGTAGAGACCGGCTTAGTTTATAGTGACTGGACTGATTGCAACTGATTTATAGCATTTTAGTCCTTTTATGGTCTTTTCACTGCTATTCAAGGACTTGCGTAGATGATAAATAGTTTAGACATTTGCTTCCAGTCTTTTGAGACTGAGCGATGGATGGATGCTACGGATTTCAGCTAAAAGCGAAATGTCACCAGATAATGAGCATTTAATTACTTAGTGACTTTTCTAAAACTGGAAAGATTAATCTTCTCTGAGGAGTTTTTGAGGAGGATTTTTGTATGTTTCTGTTCTCAAAGCCCAACATTTCTTCCCTGCAGACTGTTGACCAGTAAAACTAAACTCTGTGTCTGTACGTACACCTGGAACATGTTATTGACCTTTTATCTGTTTAATACAAAGCTCAGTGGCTTAAAATGACATCCAGCATCACTACAGGAGCTCCACCACCAGATGGAGTCGGTCAAAAGGCAAAAGAAACCCCAGAATGCACCTCTCTCCTGCGGTTATGAGCGCACTGGTCCAGTGGGAAACCGGTGGTGTGGATCCTGCTGGATGAACCCAAGCGTTGGGTGGTCAGTGTGGGACCCCCGCTTTAGGCTGTGGTGGGCATGTTCTGGTTCCAGTAATCATTAGGCCATCAGTCAGGATCCACCTGTAGTCTGATACTTAATCAATAATCAAGTTGGATGAGGTCACTCGGCATGGAAACAAAAATAAATATATTACCTGCTATAGTTAATAAGATCACATAGAGACGTTTTGAGAAACACTTTTCTTTTACTCCACAAACAATTCGAAGCCGTTTGTGCAGCAGGTGGAGGAACCAAAGGTTAAACCGGTAAACAGGTTATGCAACCCCGCTGGTGAAGGAGTGGTCGAGTTTATTTGTGTGTGTGTGTGTGTGTGTGTGTGTGTGTGGGGGGGGGGGGGAGATGAGTGGGGGTGGGGGGGGGGGGGGGGGGGATGAGTGGGGGGAAAGTTTCGCAACCACCCGTTGCGTAATACCGGAATGGGTGCGCGCACACGCCGTCCCAGGTGTTCCGGAGCATCGGAGGAGGAGGCGCTGGTCGTGTTGCTGAGCGGCCCGGCGGTGGAAGTTGCGCTGCAGGGGGTGGGACTCTCTCTCCGCAGTCGGTCGGTCGGTCGGAGGGGGGGGGGGGGGCTGCGGCTCGTGCAGAAATATGCCTCTGGCAGCAGCTTTCCAGACTCCAGCGAGCGGCCGCGCAGACAGCCGATCACCTCCGAGTTGAAGGTAAATCTTCCTCGTCTTCATCATCATCATCATCATCAGCATAAACCCTTCATCTTCCTCCTCCGACCGGCCGTATGCGCTGAAACGTCGGTTCCCTCCCCAGTCCCGAAACCGGTCCAGAACACGCAGTACGGAGCAGCCCCCGATGCCGTTGGATGGAGAGCAGTGAAGTCGGTCCACCCCTTCCCTCCTCATGCTCCTCCTGCTCCTTCCTCCCTACTGCACCAAAAGAAAACTCTGGGTAAGAAATGCGTGCTGGCACTCGTGTCCGCTGTGCACGACGTGCACGGAGCACGGCGGGACTCGCGTGTTTGCGGTCTTGGTTTTAGCTGCGCGCTTCAGACTCCACGTCGACCCGAATATCGATGCGCAGGAGGCGGCTTGAAGGAGCGATGAGTGATGCTTCCTCCTGCATCAGTCTGCTCAACTTCACATGTGTCGCTTCAGGCTGCTGAAATACTTTCATTGGATTATATTTTAAACCTTTATACGCGTCCAGGTCCGATTCACACCCCAAAAAATCACATTTCTATTATTTAGCATTTTGTCTGCAAATGTGGAGAAATAATCATCAGAGGGATTTGTGATGTTTCCTCAGTAAACGTATTTAGTGAGTCGCTTACATGCATTTAAAACACAGACGTGACAGAATCAGCATCTTTACATACATGTTGTTGACAGGTGAATTCTATTGAACATAGCTAACAAGCTAACGGTGGGGCTAAACTCCGTATTACCGTTAACTTATTAAAAAACACACGTACGTTGGACTCATCAGGAAAATCGTTCCACAACTGTAGAACAACACACGGGGAGAAACAATCACAGAAGTGATTCTGTGGTGTTTTCTCAGTAATTTACTGGAATAAAAACCCGCGAATTCCGAGAATAAACCAGCGAAGACCAAAGCAATCGATCCCAGTGTAGCTGATCGAGCTACTTAGCAGATACAAGTTTACGGACTAATGATTCATTCCTTTTGAGCAAAAATAGATGAAATAAACCTCGGATTACTAACTCTCAGCATTTCAACCTATTTATGAAGAAGAATGGACTCTTTACAATGATAACAGATCATTATTTGTCACCGTTGCAGCTCGCCGCCTGTAACTAAGGGACACAGGATGCTTTTCTTTTAAGTGGCCCCACTGATCAACGGGTTTGAAATCAGCGTCTCTGGGAGAATAAAGATGTCACGTGTTGGTTATGTAGAGGTTGTTCCCATAAAAGGATGCAGAGAAGATGAGCTGGAGTAACAGAATGCATGCTGGTCTTTAAGGCTTGCAGATGTTATATATATATATATATATATATAAACATTAGTCTTTCTTTTGCTTCCTTTTTCAGAGTCCCAGATTTCCATTGCCTCTGCAAGCTGTGATTTTATAATGATGATTCACATTCAGAAGCCAAAAGAAGAACGTACAACAACATCCAGCTTGGCTTTTAACATTCCAAATCTCTCGACCGGAAGTTTTTTATTTTAACATGACCCCACTGCTCAAATAACTGTGACCTTTCAAGCTTGTTCCCTACAGCTTTCTAATGATGCCGATGCCTGTGTGTGGCTTGACAGTAGAGGTATAACAGCCGTGTGTGTGTGTGTGTGTGTGTGTGTGTGTGTGTGTGTGTGTGTCGCTGGGACTCTCTCCTCCTCCTCGGGTCGGCCTGAAATACGAGCTGCTCAGCGTTCGATTCCTCCAACAGCACTCGCAATCATCTCAGCCATTCGTTTAACGCTGACTCTCTGTCGAGGGCTTTCCCTGCCTCCACACACACACACACACACACACACACACACCTTCCTCACCCCTCGAAGGTAAAGTGTCATTAGGAGAGCGAGAGCAGCTGGATCGCCCGGCTTGGTGGGAAACGCGTGTGGTCTGAGCGGCTCGCTGCCAGAGGCCGCTCCCTCCTCCGGGCGACGCAGCAGGCCGGAGAGGCAGTCGTAAAAACAAAGGATCACCAGATGAATCCCATTTATGACGTGGAGGAGAAGCCATCAGGCATTAGGAAGCGTTTGTTTGATCAACCTGTTTTTACTCGTTGGTGGGTCATGTGTCGAGCTCTGGAGGGGCGATCGACCTGAAGGTTTTTAAGGGTTGCTCCAGTATGGTTGAAAATACATGTGCAAAAACAACTGTTTCCTTATTTGTTTAGGTCGTTGATGCGTTTGTTCCAATTTTGGCAAAGTTACATATTTTCTTGGTCCATCAGTTGCATCCCGAGGACTTTGGCTTTTAGCGCCTGTCGGTTCCAGACTTTGCGTTGGTTAGATGTCTGTGTGGGCAGGCAGCCGTGTTTGCAGATATGAAATCCCTTCAGTCCCATCTGTGATTAGTGCATTGCAAAGCGAGATTTGACCTAGGACGAAGAGTGGAAGCATAAAACCTGCATTACTGCCCAAAGACCTTTGGATCTGACTGCAGCTACTTAATAGCTAATCAATACAGCTATGACTTGGCTTCAAATCAGTGCTCGGCCCCACTTTGGGAGAATTTAAGCATCCAGCCACCTTCACGTTACTGAGAGTGAATGAAGCTAAATCGTGTCTTTGTGGTGCCTAATGCTCTCCCTGTCTGTCTACAGGTGTGGAAATAAGAGGAAACACTTCACACGTGTGAAAACACAATCAAGCCCGTCCTGGAAAAGGACATTTATACGGATAAGAGAAAACTGTGTTCATTCAGCCAAACGCGCCTTGCTCCTCGGTTTGTCCGGTTCAGGGTCCGCAGGCTCTTTCTAGTTTATCACAAATTGCTTCTTTTCTTTGTCTCTTGCAAAGAAGGAGAGAAACTAAACATCAGATTTTTGAAGACGCCTTTTTAGTTGATTAGTAAGAGTCAAACTAATCTGCAAACTTCACTGTCAAGCGTCTGTTAGTTTCATATTTATAGCTGCTGTATTGACTTCAGAGGTATTTTGGTGGTAAATTCTGGTCTTTGGTGTGTTGATCCAGAGGGGGACGGGGGGGACGTTACATCTGCACGTCACTCTGTCACTGGGTTCATCTGGTTTATCTGCTCAGAACTCAAGACAAAGACCAGGTAGACCATCTGCCCGTCTGTTTTCCCTCTTCTGAGCTTCGGGCCTCCTCGTCCCAGCTTCCTCCTCATAGCGTGTGAGACACGTCATGTGTTGGACGGGGTCATGAGAAGCAGCAAGATAAAGTTCTCCTCTGTCCAAGGCAGCGTGCAGCACTTCCGTCAGTTAACAATTTCACAATCCATTTCAATAAACTGGAAACGGAGATGTGGGCGGATGAAGTCGCTCTACTTTATTAGGAAGAGGCGCCAGAGCTGCCTCTTACTCGCTCTCCTAACCTGAAGCAAAGCCGAGCCGATCCAAGCTGTGCCAGGCCGGGCTTTGGGGGGGTCGCTTGGTGCTGCCCATTCCTTTGCTAATGGCACATGAGCATCTGTCAGCGGGCCCTGCACTGCGTCAGGCACTTCAATTGGCGTTGGCCAGCAGAATAGTGTCCCGCCCATCCCCCCACCCCCAAACCCCCCTCCAGCCTTTTCTGTATCATTAGTGTAATGCTCCAACAAGCGGGGGGGGGGGAGAAAGGAGACACGCGTCATTTAAACTGTCCAATGTGACAAAACTATAGAAGTTCTACTCACAATCTGTGCTAAACAAAGTGCTCCGCAACCTTTTCTTCACCGTAACCTCGTTTTAAATGCCTAAAAGAAAGAATATGCCGAGCATTCGCCGTATAAACCCACATTCTGCAGATTCCGTCTGTTTGTTGGTATGAAAGGACTCTGCATGCGTCTGAAGACTCCAACGGTCCATCTCGCCCTGCGGCGCCAAGCCAGTCGATTCAGCCGCGCCTCCTCTGATTCACGTCCAAGCCGAAGGATTAACAAGGACGACAGGCTCTCAAAAGTCTTATTACCTGAACTATGAATTATACTCTGCTAAACATTGTTAATCCCCTCTGCTTGCATTCAATACATTATAGAAGCAAACCGAAGTGAGGTTTTAAATGAGGTCTATTCTGTAGCATCGGGGTGTCCGACTCTGTTGGATGTTTTCTCCTCTGCAGGCCGGCTGCAGCACCATGTCCTCCGCGCTAAGTGAGGACGTCTCCGGCTACCATCTGAGTGGTGAGCGCATGCTCCTGGATGGATTTCCTTTCATGGGTTTAATGGGTGTGAATGTATCCATACTGTGGTAAATGTATCAGAGGATGAGAAATGAGACCCTTTGTGTTTATTCTCATGCGGTCACTTCCGTGCTCCAGCTGATGGCCGTCGATGTTCCACATTTTGGTTTCCCTGTAATTGGCTTATCTATTGCTTTAAAAAAACAGAAGGGATACACCTGTCAAAGTCCCCCACGAAGCAATTCATCACCAGTAAGCCCCCCCGGCACAGGCTCAAAATCCTTCTCTAAAATGAGGTGCTTTGATTTTTAACAACAGCATGTCAATTTATTCCCAAACTATTATTTGACTTGCATAAAACGTTCTACATCTTAATGCTCAGCGCTAAATGAAAAGGCTTGAAAGAGGCTGCTGGTGCTCAGTAATTGTGAGCTTAAGACTCCTGCAGATCTTCTCCCTCTTCCAGGTTCCACCAGTGAACCAACTTCTCCATCACATATGAAATATTGATGGTTGTTATTCCCAACGTCCTGCTACTGGCGTTGAAATGGAACTATGCATCGCTCGAGGCACTTGTTTTGTCTGCCTGTCCTAGTGGTGCGTAACCCCCCCGGCTGGGAGGTGGGAATCTACCTGGTGGGCTTCTTCGTGCTGCTGTGCGTGGCCGGGATCAACATCTGGAAGTTGTGGAAATCCGGAACATTCCCTGCGCCGTCGCCCTTCCCCAACTTTGACTATCGGTATCTCCAAGAAAAATATGGAACCTCGTTCTCAGAAGTCAGACAAAAGGTACCTCGACTTCTACTCACTATATATAAATATAGGATATCTAAAAAGCAGTGAGGGGAGAGGCTAGTGGGCTGGAAGTTAGTGCTAAAATTGTGTGGCTCTGAAGGTCTGAAGGTTTTCTCTCCAATTGGGAACTGCAGCAGCTGATTTTGAAGAAATAATTTCCTGTCAGTTGTGCTTTTGGTCTTTCCGGCTTATAGTTGCACCTCCTGAGTCTTGACCATGTGATTGACTTCATCATCTCACATCATGTATTGATGATAAACATCTACCTTTCCTTATCTCACTGTCTCTCCTGATAAAAATCCCTTTATCTAACCTGATCATTGGACAAGTTCTTGTTGTTTCCAGATCTCACCTGCTACTTAGGCGAGTAGCGTTTTATTGATAGCTATAAGGACTCCGGGAGAGCGGGACAACCTGCCCCAAATGGTTATGGTTTGTTCCTTGGCTTACGTTCCATTCATCCACAAAGTTCTGTGAAATCCACTGGTAGCAACGAGCTGTTTCCCTCAATAGTTGGTTAGCTATGTTATTGAAGGAATAACATCCCTTCAATGGAACGCTGATGAATCTGTAACCACTGGCCGTGGTCGGTAAAATCTCCTTGTTTAACTCCTCCCTGAAGCGAGTGGCTGCCAACAACCACCGGCGGACCTCCACCACCTCCAGCCGCAAACCCAGCCTGGCTCTGGGCGACACCCCGGACTGCTTCCGGGATCTGGGCCACCTAGAGCTGATGAGCAGGGAGCTGGACCCAACTGGCGTGGCCCAGCTCAACCGCTCCGTCTCCACCGACTCGCTCAGCTCCATCTCCTCCATCGCCAACAACTTCGGCCACGACTTCACGGTCGGCCAGCTGGAGGTGACGCTGGAGTTCGAGCCGTCCAGGCATGCGGGCCAGGGGCCGGGACTGCTCCACATCGCTCTGCACCAGGGGAAAGACCTGCTGGAGAGGGAGGAGGGAGACTTCCCCGGCTGCTTCATCAGAGTCTCCCTGGGGCCGGACGAGATCAGCGTGGGCGTCACACGGGTGAGGAAGCTTTTGTCTTTTGGTGCTTGTACCAACATCAGGCATTTTGGGGGCAGGTGCTCAAACCAAACAAAAGGGCCCCCATAATTATTCATGAAATTAATAATAATAAATAAACACATGATGTATTCAACTTCTATATTTATTTTTGTTAACAAACTCACTCAAATTATCAAATTGAATAAATACATGAATAACAGGCAAAAGCAGACAAAACAAGGCCATATTGTACTTGAGCAATAAGGTACGAGAGGCTATACTTTATTGTCCAATAATTGAACAGTTCAGGGGTGTTGTTAGGCCCGACACGCACAGCGGTCCTAAGCGGAAGTGATGTAACAGTTTGAGGGCCGGCAACCCTCAAACTGTTACATCACTGAAGATAAAGTAGTGCCTCAGGTACCTTATTGCTTTTATAATACGGTTACCAGCCAAGTTATAAGTAGTAAGTAAATAGTTGCCTTTCAGCACAAACTAGTTGTGTATCTCGTTTCAGTAGTCGTAGTAGACAAATAGTCCCCGTACGTGCACGTAAACAGCATCTCATTCATCCACATCGCTCATGACGCCACCTGAATTGTCGGCTTGTGAAAGCTCTCGTTGCCCCAAACTGATCATTTGTGGTGTTTGATCTTTTTTCGTCACCGAGCTAAAAGCTGAAACATCAACTAACAATCCAAGTGTTACTGAACGCTCGGGTCAATGTGAACAGCAACTACTTTATCGCTGAATAACGCACCCCCTCTGGCTCACTCACAACCAATCAGAACGCTGGATTTCATCTGCCGTATTCTAATTAAGCAACGAGGTACGAGAGGCTGTACTTTATCGTCAATAATGTTACCGTTCAAGCTCGACGTTCGGCCCGAGGTGCAGCAGAGGGCCGGAAACCCTCAAACTGACTATGAATAGTAATTAATTAGCTGCCTTTCGTCAGAAAATACACAATACGTTGTGTATGTCGAATCAGTAGTCTAGAGAAAGTCCCCGTACGTGTAGCTGTTGCTATGCTACAGATAAACAGCATTGTAAACATCACATGTGTTAGCCTAACATGTGTTAGCCTAACACATGTGATGACCAACCAAACCAGACGTTGGTTGGTGACATGAATTTGTGCGTTGTCTGAAAACAGGTCTGCTTGCTAGATCTCATTCATTCGCATTGCTCATGATGTCCACTTGTCCTCTTTGGCTAAAAGGTGTCCTTAAGCGGTTGCAAAAGCTCCCATTAACCCAAACTGATCATTTGCGGCGTTTCCGGTCTCTTTTCAGCGATCGTTACTGAGCTAAAAGCTGAAATGACCAACGGTCGCGCTGCTGCAGGTCCCTGTCCTTCGGTTCTTGGCATTGTGCTGCAAATTTTGTAAACGAGATAAACAATGTTGTGCATAATAATAAAGAGTGACTTACATAAATCTATAAAGCTGACAAGTTACTGTTTTCTGACAGAGCTGAAGCATAAGCAGCATTACACTGATAATCTACCACAACGTACCTCACCAGACCGTCATGGAGCTCAACTGAAGACCTACCTTCCATTTCAATAATTGATTAAATTAAACAAAACTAGTCTAATTTGTAGTACAGTAAATCTGTCTGTATCTGTCTTCATTAAACATGACAAACATCAGTAAACAGCTGGACAAGGCTTTGGAATCACAGATTTTGTGAGTTTTTTGACGTCGGGGATTACACAAATACCGCGATGAGCTGAGTGATACCGATCACCTCCGATGCTGCAGCCGCGTGGAGCTCAGCACTGCACGAAGTGGAGGATGGGGGGGCTTGAGAGCATGTCGGGGGGGGGAAATTCTCACAAGAAATCAAATAAATGCCGGTCAGATATCAAAACCCCTTTGGGGGGAATTGATGACAGAGAGAGTCTAAGAGTCTTATTCTGAAATATTGATGAATGAAGAAGCAATTGTGCTCCAGCAGAAGGGGCACTTTTCTCACCCAGGGCAAAAGGGCAGGTGCTTGAGCACCACTGGGGGTCTCTGAGCAAGATGTTTGCCAAAAGAATGTAACTTAATTACATTAGATTACACAGATGCATTAGATTTGTTTTACATCACCTAAAGGGACCGTGCAGTGTTTTAATAGCACACATGTGCAGTCCAAAGCTTTACTAGCATACATGTCTAAATGTTAAATATGATCATACGTATGAGGCTGTTTTTACGATAATACGATTTGTCACATATCACGACACCAAAAGGTTTCCTCCATGCTGATCTACGTCAACGAAATGAATAAATTATACTGAGGGTCAACAAACTGCTGTGTGTCTCCGTGGTGCACTGCTAAGAGCAGTCACCGGGTTACTATTTTGATGTTTTGATCCCCCGTGTTCGAATCCAGGTTGTGCCGATCTTTCCTTTAATATATTTTTTTATATAAATGTGTTCATACGTGGCCGTGATGTGGTGCTCACTTATACAATCGTAAACGCTGCAATGGATTTGTGATGCGTTTTGAAGATTTTCAGCAATATGTTTGTGAATGTGTGACGAATCAGGGAACTGAGGCGGACACATCTGCTGCTGTGGAGTGAACACAAACACGCACGCGTAGGGAAACCAGTAGGTGGAAAAACCAGTAGGGGTGTTACACCGGCCGCTCCATAAAGCGCTTCAACAGCAGCCTTTTCAATACAATGGATCAACGCAGGTACAAGATGCAGATCAGAAGCTGGTTCGTCATTGTCCAAGGTTGTACTGGCCGTGCAGTTTGGAAAAGTCTTCAGTGAGTCCTTTTCTTTGGCCTGTTAGTGAAAAGATAATTAAACGCTGATGTTTTGAGCATGCAGTACACCACGAGGTTAGCGAGGGGCTCTCTTGAGTTTACATTCAGACCGGCCTCGTTAAATGCAGTTAGGATTCAATGATTTGAATTCACCTGCAGTAGACCGATCATGCTCAACTGTCCTGTGGTTTAGTAGAAGAGGCCACAACCTGCTGATTTGTTTGATTATTTTTTTTTTTGTGCCTTGGTTTTGGTCTGGTTTTGGTTTTCGAGTTTTCTAAATCAAGGCTACTTTTCAACACTGTAGTAATTCTGTTCTTCTATAGTTCAAACACAAAGAAATCATTGCTTTCAAGATTTAAAGTTTAAGAGAGTGAGTTCTTAATTGAACCACATGTCATTAAAATACCATGTCTCTGCTCAGATTCAGCCTCAGCCTCCTGCCAGATGGAAGGGGCACAAACAGGTTTTGTCGGGGTGAGAGGGGTCGGCTACCATCTTTTTAGCTGCTTCAGAGACCTGGAAGCGAACAAGTCCTGCAGGGACGGCAGATTGCAGCCGATCACCCTCTCTGCAGAGCGGAGGACACGCTGCAGCCTGCCCTTGTCCTTGGCTGTGGCTGCAGCGTACCAGACGGTGATGGAGGAGCAGAGGATGGACTCCATGATGGCCGTGTAGAAGTGGACCATCATCGTCTTTGGCAGGTTGAATTTCTTCAGCTGCCTCAGGAAGAACAACCTCTGCTGAGCCTTCTTGGTGATGGAGCTGATGTTCAGCTCCCACTGGAGGTCCTGGGTGATGATGGAGCCCAGGAAACGGAAGGAATCCACAATAGTGACGGGGGAGTCGCACAGGGTGATGGGGGAGGGTGTGGCTCTGTTCCGCCGGAAATCCACAACCATCTCCACTGTCTTTAGAGCGTTGAGCTCCAGGTTCTTCTGCCTGCATCACGACACCAGATGGTCAGCAGATGATTTTACTGTTTATTTGTGACATTGGCCGTTAATTTCAAAGCCCGGGATGGATATTTAACTGTATGTTACAATTGTTAAATTTACAGCAATTTGTTAGTGTATTTCCATTAAGTTGTCTCATTTGATCTCAATACATGAATTGTTCTTTTAACAATTCTGTGCTTGTGCCTTATTATTAACCATATCACTCCTTACTCACATTAGTAAAAATAATTCTGAATCCTAATCCCAAGAAATAAATGTTAACTTATTTATTTGATCATTTAGATTAACCACGAGTAGTTCTGTTATAAGAATAAGACCACGACAGGCTTGCATCTGCGGTGGAGGCCCAGTTCCTCCGTCTGCTCCACCTGCCGCTCGCCTCCTGCTCACAGCCGGCGTGAACTCAGCAGGGTCCCCCCCCCCCCCCCCTCTGGTATGTGTCGTTGCGTTAATGCGACCAGGCTGGAATGGAAGCAGCGGCTCCCTCCTCTTCATGTGGAAGGGTGGTGAAGAGGGAAGAGATGCTGACGTTGGCTTCTCTCGCCCTGATGGTCTCTCTCTTTCCTCCCCCCTCGCTCGTTGTCTCCTCTCTGTTGTCACTGTTTCTGTTTTTCGTCCATCACTCCCTCTTTCATTACATTCTGCTCCCTGATATCTTCACCATTTCTCGCCTTTGTTGTGCCTATAATAATGTGTGTGCCAGTCTTCTCTCCTTCTCCCTTTCTCTGTATTCTGTATAGCTCGCACACACACACACACGCACACACACACACACATTTACGTGCCTCATTTTCACCACATGCATCACCATTGTTATCTCTATGCAATAAGCCTGACCGTGCAGAGGGACTGGTATTGTTGGTGGAGAGCAGGTCTGCCTGCGTTGTGTCTTTATGTACATTTGCACAGCTGATGTTGTTATTGGATGGAAGACTTAAGTTTCATCAGCATAATTTGATCCAGGGCTGATCTGCATCCCCCGTGATGTTAGAATGATAATTGTTTTGTTGTGATGTGACTGCTGCTGCTGCCCACGTTGATCCTGTTGGTATTAAAGTACATTTTAGTAATATTGCAGATGTATTTAACACTAGAAGCAAAAGAAGTTGTGTGGAAAGGAGCTATAATTAGAGCCGCTCTCCCTTTCACAATCAGTTGCCTGGTAACTTCCGACCGCCTTGCACACCCTCGCCTATGTGCGTTCTTTAGTGTATGCCGGCATCGGAATTAATTAGTTGACATTTGATTAAATTGTATTCAACATTAGCAAAGTGCATATTGATATATGCATGAGGGATTTAAACAGAACATAAGTCAATGGATCCAAATGGACTACAGCTCTAATCCCAAATAAACAAACAAATGAATCCTCACACTTCAACTGTCTCCTGCCTCATAGATCCAGACCAACGCTTACACAGTGCTTTTTGATGAGCGCTTCTCCATCCCCATGGACGCGTCCCTGTTGGAGGAGTACAGCCTGCGCTGTGCAGCTTTTGGCATCGATGCTGACGAGAGAAACATCAGCGCTGGAGTCGCAGATCTCAAGCTGTCAGACCTGGACCTGACAGTCCGCCCATTCAACGCCTGGCTCTACCTTCAGGATGTCAATAAGGTCGGTTAGGATTCAGTGATGTAGGATTCATATATGAATAAACAATGTGCACTCAGTAGAGTGTAGATCTCCTCCAGGTGTCTACAAAGACCACTGCTCAAGTGTGTGATAGAATGAATGCGACCTACAGTGTCGCATCCCCAAGGTGTGATCAGGTACCACCTACCTGCTGGGGTATGGAGACAAATCCAGCTCAGAAGTTTTGTTCATTTGAAAAAAAAAAAAATACAATACACCAAATATCACAAAATATATATAAGTGAAGATTGAAAAAAATATAGAGAATTGAGTCAAAACTATATTCGACCCGAAAATACTTTTCGCCCACTTATTTTTATTTACTTAATACTTTGTTGTAATTTTCAATGTTCAAGACAAGAAAACCTAAACTTTCAGGTTCATCTTTGTTTTTCCAATTAACAAAACGTTCCATACTGGGGACTATGATGTGCTAATAAATGATGTAGGCACTTTGCTGTGTATTAAAATGCTGTCTGAGAGCCTCTGCTGGACAAAAGTCGTCAAAACTACATGTCATATTCAATAATGTGTATACTTTATATATAAGTGGGAATTACTGGGATGATACAATGATCCTTAAAGTTCTACTGAGACGAACTGGGTCTCACGTTATCTAACCCAGCAACAGCATCCATGGCTGTGGAGCCTAAATAAATACAGAATAAATACAAGCTGACTGTGTTTAAGTCAAATTAATGAATACATTTAGAAATTTTGAAAAGCTATCGCAAATGAATTCATTAAACGTTCATTTTAATTTGTTACTCACAAATAATTCACAAATAATAGAATAGAATGTGTTGATTACTTGCATTATACCGTCTTTAATTCACCACCGTCCAAATGACTACTGAAATAAACTGCTAACATTTTAAAAATAGTTGTTGTAATAGTTGTTTCAACGTTTACAGGTTCCATTTTCTAATGGCCCTAATTCACATATTAATTTAAAGTCGTATAAGCTGTGAAATGTCATTAAGTCTGATCCCCAGTAGCTGCACAAACTCCTCCAACCCCACTAGGCTGCTCTGGAGGAGACATTTGCTTCACTGTGCTTGTGGAGCGGACTGGAAACTGTGTATGAATCCACAGGCCGTGGACGCAGTCGGGGAGATCCTGTTGTCGCTCAGCTATTTGCCGACAGCAGAGCGCCTCACAGTCGTTGTGGCCAAGTGCAAGAATCTGGTGTGGACCAACAGCAAGAACACTGCAGGTCGGCAACTTTTTGTGTGTCTGCTGGCCGAGTTTCATTCTTAAATGTTTGAGAATCTGAGCTGCCTGAGTGACTGTTGACATTGAACTTTAAATCCGTCTGCTTTTCAATCAATCAACATCTTTCTACCGGACCCCCAGGAGGTCGATTTATTCATAAGGAGACAGGCAGAGGGGACACGAAATGACTTGTTCATAATAAAGGTCTCCCTCTGAAACAATGTCATCATCTGCAGAGCTAATTGTGTGTGTAGGACTGTGCCTGATTGCTCTTTAATGAGGAGTTTATTAAAAGCACCACTAACTGTGGGGATGTTTGCACATCTGTAGCTCGCGCTTAATACGATTAAACACGGTTGTGATGTTATTCGCTTGCTGTCGTTGTCAGATCCTTTTGTCAAAGTATATCTCCTGCAAGACGGCAGGAAGATCAGCAAGAAGAAGACTTCCACCAAACGGGACGACACAAATCCCATCTTCAATGAGGCCATGATCTTCTCCGTGCCGTCCCTCGTCCTGCAGGTGACACGTTGGAATGAGGCAACAAAGTCCTGACTGAAGAAATGAGATGAGAGATGACGCTTCTACATCGGGAGTTTAGAATATTAAACCAGGGCTGTCAATAGTAACTTAAACAAAAGTTCTTAGATTATTACGGCGAAAACAGAAAACCACAACTAGTTATTCCCATCTGAATGTGTATTAAATGTCATGCAATACATTCAAAAGTTGTCGAGCTATTTCACTCGAAACCACAAATTTAAAGCTTACAAGAAAAGTCAAGGGACCACCAAAGTCTTCACGCTTTGTCAATCAAGGAGTTGTTGAAATGTTTCATTCTTTAATATCAAAGTGCTGGACCGATTGACGGAGAAAGATGACAGAAGAAATCCGCTTTGGCTCGTGTAACCACCTTGTGTTGCTTGCAGGAACTCTCGCTGAGGGTGACGGTGGCGGAGGCCACGGATGACGGCCGGGGTGAGAACCTGGGTCATGTGATCATCGGCCCTGAGGCCAGCGGGATAGGGATCACCCACTGGAACCAGATGCTGGCCACTCTGAGGAAGCCCGTGTCCATGTGGCACCCGATACGCAGGATCTAGCGCCCGCTCTCCCTCTCGTACCGACCCGACTTGTTTCCAGGGAAAAACTGGCTTAGTCACGTTCCCTCCACCTCCACCCTTATTGGGTGCCACGCGCCAGCCTGTTTTAGGGAGATAAGGGTTGTTGGCACACACTACGTGTGGATCTGCTGGTGAATAACACATTGGAGTAAATACCTTATCTTCATGGGGGAGGGGAATCTGTAAAGCCTGTGTTTGACTCTGAACGCAATGTTTTTATCGACCCGTTGATCACTTAAACACTCCGAGCTTGTCGTGTTTGGCTTCAGCGTTGCTCGTGTTGCATTACTGTCAACAAGAACAACAGCAGAGGAGACACCGATATGTGGATACCCCCCCAACCCCCCCTTAAAAGCTTTCAGTTTGGACTTTTATTAATCTAATTAACTAACAAAGGAGCTGGTCTGGGCAGAAGTCCCCCCTCTCTGCATGGTAGCCTGCGATAGCTGTCTGCAGGATGAGCAACTGGACGGGAAACCACAGTCATTGATTGCGCCTAATTGATTGATTTGGTAGCAGTTTAAGAGCCGAGTTAGCTCTATTGGGTATGCTTGTTTCATTCGTTAACATCGGGATTGAAAAATAATAAAGGGTTTTGGTATGTTCAGTATTTATTGTGCTTTTGAAAAAAAAAAAAATCCAGGGACTCTTATCCAGGTGAAATAATTGTAATTTGTAGCAGTTGTTACAGGGTGGCCAACTCAGATATAATCAGCATATAAGTATCATGTTATGTTGTTCTATTTTAAACATTATTAATGCCGTACACATTGCATAAGCATATTTAACAGTGTAAATAGTGCACTAGAACTGTCTTCATTTCTTTCCTCTTTATTCTGGGTGCAAATCATGTTGTTCCTTGTATTGGAACTTTCCGTCTGCAGGTTTGTTTATTAACACTAATATCACTGCTGCTCAATTCATTATCACCTAAACACCTCTGGGAATTTAATGTGTGACGTGTACCAACCCCTCCAATGGGTTTACAGTTCATTTTGTCTCGGAGGAAACACCTTGATATTCTGATCTGTAGTTTGTCATTTGAGCTTTTCTCATTATTACACCTGCAAACGTCTTGTTAGCACTGATGGGGTTCATGGTTGAATCCAATAAGAGCCAGTATGCAGCTGGACGTCTTAATGGTAATTCTGCTGATGATTCAAGTGAAGATAATGTGACGCGGGTCTCGCCAAAGTCAGAAAGTCAAGGTGTCTTTGTCTCTGTCCAAAACATGTTCTTACACCATTGTGCAATAGTGCTATTTTATTGTACTTTTAAATGTGAATTATGATGTGAAACACTGCTAAATTTAGAAGCATCATCAGCCTTGTTCACTGTTGTGACTTTTGTTTTAACCAAGCAGAACATAGCCTACATTGCTGGTCATGTTCTGACTGCATTCGTCCCTTCACTTTGAAAATCTGTCCAAAAATAACACACTTGTGGACATAAAACAGACAATATTTCCTACTGTGCCAAATAATTAAGCAATATTATCATCTCAATCATCATTTGCATTTGATTCACCAAGCTGTAGCGTTCATTTGACCATGCATGAAGTTATTTAGCACTTGATGTGAATGTGCCTCAAAAATACAGTGTATTGTGTGGATGCTGTTTGAAATAAAAGCAATTCAACAGTGAACGCCTGGATTTGTGTCTTGTTGAATGAAATAGTCGAGAAATGATCACAAGACGACTGTTTGGTTTTAATCCTACTTCTGGAATAAATTATAACTAAGACCAAATAGGAAACTAAATAAATCCTGCTAGAGTTCTATTTGATCCACCACACACATCCTACCCGCCTCTTTCTTATTGCTAGTATATCTGAGAGAAGACCCACGATAGATGCAGATTTGGGAATGCGTTATGGGAACTCCAGGGACAACAAAGACCTTCCATGTGTCAACGTGACTAGTTGGTTTAGTTTATTTTAAAACCAAATAAAAAGCTTGGGTCTGTGCAGCATTAAAGCACCGAAACTAAGCCAATAATAATATAGAATATTGCAATGGCTGATTTATATTTCCTAATCCCAAACTGCACAGTAGCTTGCTACAATAGTTTCCCACGAGATGTAGCCACATAACTGATAACTGCTTCTCAGTTGAAGTAGAAGTACCTTAAAATGGTACTTAAGCAGCTTGATTACATGCATTAAATTAGAATCCGCCATTGTTGTACCATGCAAGGTATGAGTCCAATAATACACGTTACACGTTCGAACTCCCTGTAAGGAAACTCAAATCCAGAACAGCATCGTGTGAGGACAAAACACACGCTGAAGTCTCCTGCTTTCAGCCAATCAGAGGGCTGGGGTGCCAGGCAGGGGGCGGGGCCACGGCGTCCAAACTCGAGGTAGAACTGGTCAGTCGTCACTGTTGTATTCCTGCAGCAACTAACGTCTCCTACGAGGTCAAACAAGCGCCAGACGCCCGGTCGACATGGCTGACAGCAGGGACAAAGCTACGGATCAAATGAAGACGTGGAAGGAGAACCGGGCCCGTCAGGTCTGTTGGTTCGCTGCATCTGTTGAGACGCTCGCCGCTTAGCGCCGCCCGTCTCGGGGCGAGCGGCCGAGACGTCGCTCTCGGTAACTTTACGGTAACTTCACGTTAACGGTAACCAGCGAAAGCTCAATCTAGCGCTCGGTTCCCCGCACGAAGCCTCGCGGTTTCGTTACCTTTTGTTTCAGCTGTTGGGGGTGTTTTATAGTCGTCGTTCTACCTACGGACTCGATACAAAAGCTGCCATTATGTGTTTGCTAGCGTTAAATGCTAAAGTAGCCCGAATAAAGAAGTCTAAACAACGTAAAGCAGCGCGGACTGTCGGACACAAACCACTTCACTCACAATGTAAAACTCTGTTAAGTAACTGGGTCATCGTCCAGGGGCTTGTAGGGTTGAACTTCAGCCCCGTGAGTTGTATAACGAGAACACACCAGAGCTAAATCACCTCTAATAACCCTTCTTGTACTTCATATTAGTTTGGATTTTGTACCCCTCGGTGTTTGTGGTTGAATATGCTGCGCACCTTCGAAAATGATTTACAGCTGTGAAAATAAAGACGGCCCGGTTTAATATTGATGGGTCGTGTTATTGACCCGCTTTTATTTTCTTAGGGAAACACTGCGGGCATCAGTTTCACGCCTGCAGTCCAAATAAATACATTTACAACAACTCTGAATTAGCTTCAGTTCGCTAAATAAAGGCTAGTTCTGCATTCTTTAACATAAACGTTGCTAGGTCCTTCTTAGGATTTTTATGATTTTGAATTAAATACCTTTTTTTTGTTTTCTGTTTCATACTAAATAAGACCTTTCAAAGTTGTCACCTTTTGGCACTCTTGCTTTATCAAAAATATATAGTGATTTGTTTGCAACATGTTTTCAAATTCAGATAGTGACAAATGCAAATTCCTACAACTTTGTTTACAGTTGGCCTAAGATGCACATCATCCATCAGCTAATGTCTTTTTTTTTAAAGCGAATTCTGTTTGCAACAGAGGCCCGACACACTGACCACAGGGGCCGGCCATCCCATCGGAGATAAGCTGAACCTGCAGACTGCAGGACTGAGGGGGCCTCTGCTGGTCCAAGATGTGGTCTTCACTGATGAGATGGCCCACTTCGACCGGGAGCGAATCCCAGAGAGAGTGGTGCACGCCAAAGGGGGAGGTGGGTACCGCACAAGTCCCTTGTGTGTCCCCTGTGTGTCCCCTGTGTGTCCCCTGTGTGTGGCAATGCAGGAAAGGTTTTCACCTAATTGTTACACAAATAATGTTGTTTGTTTGTATTATTGATACATTGTTGTTTGAAGTTTGTTCATTACCTTGGAATTACTATTTGTGTCAAAGTAATGTTAACTCAGTTTCATGTTTTGACTTTTTAAAATATATTTTCTCATGTAGTGTAATAGTCAAAGAAATCATTGTTCTAAAAAAGATCACAATAGTGTGTTTACCAATTTAAGAAACTGACGCTTTTACTCATCTAGATACAGTACAAGTTAAAAGTTTGGACACCTTTACTCATTGAATGAAGAAATGTGTCCACAATTTGAACTTGTACTTTAACCTGTAAAAGTCAATAAAACTAACGGAGGAAAATAACCATTAAGGGTCATTCTTGTTTGTGGACTAGCCAATGCTAAGCTTTTCAGATCAAGGTCAAAGCCTTTGTGCAGATATTCTGTTTGTTGGGCTTCTTTCCAATGCATGGCGACACTCGCATCTACTACAATTTTGTTCGGCGGTAATTCTGAGTGTTCTATTTCCTTCATGATGCAGGCGCGTTTGGCTACTTTGAGGTGACTCACGACATCACTCGCTTCTGCAAGGCCAAGGTGTTTGAACATGTGGGCAAGACCACGCCCATCGCTGTCCGCTTCTCCACCGTGGGTGAGGAGGACCACGTCCTACGATGATCAAAAATAGGATGGGATGAGTTTAACCTTTTGCTTCATGTTCCCACACATGCACACACACACACTTGATCAACTTAGAATGTCGTCCTTGATTTTAGAAATGTTTTCTCTAACAATTTTCCTTTATTTATCAGTAACATGTTCTTTTATTTCAGCTGGCGAATCGGGATCCGCAGACACGGTGCGAGACCCCCGAGGCTTCGCAGTCAAGTTTTACTCTGAGGAGGGCAACTGGGACCTGACTGGAAACAACACCCCCATTTTCTTCATCCGGGACAGCATGCTGGTGAGTGAGCGTATGATGGTGGTGTTAAAGTGTTATAACTTGAGACTGGATGTGAGGACTCACACACCCAACCTATTATAGATTTAATATCATCAGTCGTAAAGAAGCTGATTATACGTATAAATCAATGAACTTTATATCATATGGAGGCACAAGGGTGCTCAAATGCAAGTTCCTTTCTTCCCATGAATAAAGTGTTTAATGTTACCTGTCCATTGTTCCCCTCACAGTTCCCGTCCTTCGTCCACTCCCAGAAGCGTAATCCTCAAACCCACATGAAAGACCCTGACATGGTGTGGGACTTCTGGAGCCTGAGGCCCGAGAGTCTGCATCAGGTAGTTTAAAATAGCTAAATGATTCTCAGGTACTGTAGTGTTTCACTTTACTTTTGCTCCTGCATTCTTTCCTTGATTATGTATTAACCTGAACTAATCTGTTGGTGGTTTTCATCCAACAACGGTACAGAAAGCAGTTTTTTTTTCTTCTGTCCCGAACGCCCTGTGCAGGTGTCTTTCTTGTTCAGCGATCGAGGTCTGCCCGATGGCTTCCGCCACATGAACGGCTACGGCTCCCACACCTTCAAACTGGTCAACGCTGATGGCGAGCCTTTGTACTGCAAGTTTCACTTCAAGGTGTGTTTGAACCCACATTTAACCTCCAGGAATCTTTGCATTGCTTAGTTCCAACAAGTCACATGTTTCCTTTTTTTCAGACTGATCAAGGAATAAAGAATCTGTCAGTAGAGGAGGCAGACCGCCTGGCATCCACCAACCCAGATTATGCCATCGGAGACCTGTTCAACGCTATTGCCAATGGCAACTTCCCATCCTGGACGTTCTTTATCCAGGTCATGACCTTCGAGCAAGCTGAGAGAGTGGGAGTCCACCCGCTTTCATCTCAGCATGGTAGAACGAAGTGGGGCGTTATACCGAGTCCTACTGTCTATAAAATGCCATCAGATGCTGTCACATAGAATATAGAGATCGTTAAGATAGGCCTGCGTCCATATCCAACACTACCCCAACCAGCAGTCTGTCCTACTTCTGTCCTTTTTTCCAGCTAATTGGGCTTTCTCGTTCAGGTTTGGTCCCACAAAGAATACCCTTTGATTCCTGTGGGAAAGCTGGTACTCAACAGGAACCCAGTCAACTACTTTGCAGAGGTGGAGCAGCTGGCCTTCGACCCCAGCAACATGCCACCAGGCATTGAGGCGAGCCCCGACAAGATGCTGCAGGTACCACACACATTCTCTCCTGGCGCATTTCTCAGTAATCAAATGGATTATTAAAGCCGCACTTTAAATCTGCCTTAATACGACGTATGAGATTGAAACAGCAACTGTGTGGACCAGCACATTTTTCTATTAAGAATTGACAACTTGTTTGACCTGTGGTGTGACCATGTCTTGTGTCGTCTTCTTTGTCTAGGGTCGTCTCTTCTCCTACCCAGATACACACCGCCACCGGCTCGGCGCCAACTACCTGCAGATCCCCGTGAACTGCCCCTTCAGGACCCGGGTGGCCAACTACCAGCGGGATGGTCCAATGTGCATGTTTGACAACCAAGGTAGTCCTAGTCCGGCTTGTGTTCTGTAACAAGGACGGAGAGAAAGGTCTGTTTAGGTTGGAGATGTGGCTGTTTTTACATCATCGGCTCCATTCTGAAATCCCCATTTCACTCTTGTAAAATGTCTGTCTCCCTATTTGTTTTGCTGGCTGTAGTCTCCAGATACATACAAACTACCTTCACCCATTTCTTTGTACCAGTGTTTTTGCTTGACCTTGAAGTTTTTATTTTTTATTTTACCAACTTCTAATTTGATGTATGCAAATTCATCCAGTCATCTACACCACATTGAAGAGCCCGAAACGGTCGACATGGTAAAGGGCATCACGTCATGGTTGTTTTACCTGATCAGATTTACTCCCAATAAGTAGCCCTTTTTTTCTGTTACTTCAGTATTTGAAGTTCAACCAGTAACAGTGGTCTGCTTGGCCTCCAGGTGGCGCTCCAAACTACTATCCCAACAGCTTCAGTGCCCCAGAGGACCAGCCGCGGTTTGTGGAGTCTAAGTTCAAGGTGTCTCCAGATGTGGGGCGCTACAACAGCGCAGATGAAGACAATTTTACACAGGTAACGGTAGCGTGTGGTCCATATGACCCATTCACTCCCAGCCGTCCATTAGTTCATGTTTCCAAAGCAAACGCTTCATTCACAAGTATATAAAGATGGTGTTCACAAATAGTCTGCAAAAATAGAATTTTACCTTTTTCTTTTGGTTTAAACCGAAAAGCAAACCTGTTATTGTTTGACATTGTGACCCTTGTTGTTTGTTTGTGAAGACTGCAGTAGATTTTGTTGGATTGTATGTCACTCCCAGTGCTTCACCTACTCCGGATTATCCACCATCTTGCAGCTCTGCTCTGCTTTGCTGGAAATAAAGGACTTAAAAGTCTGCAGTCATTTAAACAGTTTAGGTTTCCTTCCACCTGATGGTGAATGTTGTGCAGCATTTAGCGGGTAATAAAACAAGATCTTTCTCTTAAGAGCAAAGACTAAAAGGAGCGTGAATCTCACACAGAAATCCAAATGAACGTTACTGTTGCTGTTTTTTTCTGGCTCTTTCAAACAGCTCATTATTATGAGTATTCATATTCTTTTCATTCTTCATTTCTGTAGGAATCTCAACTTACTTTGTGTGCTTTGCTGCAGGTTCGCACCTTCTACACGGACGTCCTGAACGAAGAGGAGCGCCAGAGACTCTGCCAGAACATGGCAGGGGCCCTGAAGGGAGCCCAGCTCTTCATCCAAAAACGCATGGTGAGTCCAAATGACCTTTTTAAAGGACCCACATTACTCATGTACATTTACATCGTCATTTGACCTTTTTAAAATAATGGTTTAGTTGGGGAAACAACCGCAAACAGGATGTTGCTTTCATTGCGTGCCTGTGCACAGGAACATTTGGTTTTGTGGGGGTTTTTCTAGTGTGCTTTGTCTGGTCCCTGCCAATCACAACCCACAAACTGTTACCAGACTCTGACGTTTTCTAAATCCAGATTTTTAATGAGAAGAACTGAAAGACTTGTCATGATAAGAGATCAAATAAACTGCAGCTTTGGTATAATTTACACACTCGACGAGGAAAAAACAATTCAGGGCCTTTTTCTAAAATTTGAATTGTCTGATTCTTGATGCAGGTTGAGAACTTGAAGGCGGTCCATGCGGACTATGGAAACCGGGTTCAGACCCTTCTGAACCAGAACAATGCGGTGGAAAAGAAGGTAAGCAGGTCTCCTGTAAGGTGGAACCCAGTGTTTCTCCATCCATCACTTTGATTCATGTGACATGTTTTCTTCCTTTTCTACATTGTCACAGAACACTGGTGTGCACGTCTACAGCCGTCCAGCAGCACCGTCCAAGATGTGATTACTTACATTTCTACCTTTGCTAGCCCATGAAGACTAATCACACCAGTTGATTACAATGACAAGTGATAATTGTTTGTATTAATTACTCAGGTTTTGTGTGTATTTCTATGTTATTATGAACCGACTCTTTTCTTTGCCAGAAGTAAGAAAACAAACGCAGTGATTTAAAATGTCTTGTCAACATTAATCTTCAGTCTTAGTTTAAATTGGTAAAATACCTTCATATGTAATGCATCATCATCATCACCTCACGGCTGTGCTGATATTACTGCTTCCTTCCACCACGAGCAATGATCAGTTTTCAGGAAAAAAATTGCAAACCGTTTTTTGAACTCAATGGTAAAACTGTTATTATTTCCTCTTTATGTTTTGCATATCTAGTGAGATATTCAGTTGATAAAAAGCAAGGTTGAAGATGAGGCTTTGTTTCCATTACAGCTACAACAATAGTGCCTTTTGTGGACTAAAACAACCAAATACTGATATTTTGACCTTTTTCAGACTAGAAGAATGACTTCTGAATAGCTTACAGTTTGTTTGTTTTCAACATGTCTTCATATGTAGGAAGATTAATAACCTAATGATCAAACATGTAACTTTACAGTTAATATAGATTAAGTTCTGGTCTCAAATTGTATAATGCATACATAATCATGAAATGTGCTTTAACTGCATGTTAAAAATCCTGACAAACTTTGTAGTAGTGTTTTTATTTCAGACTGAAAGATGACAATTAGTGTTGTTTGAGAACACAATGATCCACAACAGGATGTACATATCAGAGGTATGACTGTCAATGTTACCAATGTTTCATTAAGGTTGTGGACCGTGTTGAGTGCCTGTATTAATGAACTTCTAATCAAAGTTTATAAGCAGCTTTCATTTGTTTCCCTTTATTTTGGGCCGAGCACAAACTGACGCTGACTTTGATAGGCAACTTTTTATTTGAATGAGCAGTTTGATCCAACATGAGCGGGTTCATCTTCATCTATTTGCTGCCGTACCAGTTGTGCGATGAACCACTGGACATCGACGTGGTTGTAGGCTTTTAAATTTACCTGGAATGCAAAAAAGTGTCAAATCCTGATTTGGGTTGTCTCTGTTTTAGGCTCCTCCTCTGATCCAGATCCAACAAATCCAACAACTCCATCCAATATCACATGCAAATTGTGAAAAGCAGCGACACTTGGTAACGTTACGTTATCGTAGTTGGTATGCTCACTTATATAAAAATAAAAAAGAATAATTTGTAATACATTTTGTATGTATTAAAAGACATCATGAAATTCTGTCTACAGTCTACAACCAGACTGCTGATAACATTTTCCTGTCGCCAGGACCTGTCCCGATATGCAATTATTTAATTTAACAATACATTGTAAATATTTGATATTAGTAATAAGAGTACCACTATATAGAGTACCAGTATATGTCATAACAAAATCATGAAAAATCCTTGTGTAGTGCGCTAATAAAAAGTTGTAAAAATTAGTATTATTAAATACTAAAAAATTATGTTAGTAAAGTATTATTTTATATATATATAAAATATGATCTGCAGGATGCCACACTTCTGCCAATTATTTTTGATGTGGTGTCGCAACTTTCCTTTAAATCCAAATGAATCCTGAATGGAAACTTTGGGAACAAAAGACACCAGAAAGAGAACGATACCTACGCAGCAATCGAAGGTGACAAGGAATGTTATTATATATCTTGGGTTCAGTTATAAATTGGAAAGCTTTTCTCCAGGAAACATTATTTCCAAAGTAACATGAAGGCAGACATTATACGACTGGGCTTGGGGTCTATGATGGCGGTTTACTGCCCCTTGATTTCGCGCATTACAATGAATCCACTTCTTGAATCCATGTGCTTTGGTCCCAACCAGGCCAGAGACCAGAAGGTGGTTGGAGATATGGATGGTGCCCGACACTATGGCTCCACCGCTCGCAGCCTCAACATCTGGGCCACATTGTCATCCATCTTCGTCCTTTTTCTTCTTATAATGATTTTCATCATTATAATCAAGATCACTGAGAACACCAGGAATCACGGATACAATTTCAATTAAAGAGACTAGATGATGCTGTGATGCTTTCAGCTTTGTTATTCACACTCATGGCACACTTTGTAACCCTTACAATGTTTTTTTTTGTTGTTGCTTATATCAGATGCTTTTCATCTATTTGTGTTACAAAAGTGACATAAATAGATGAAACTCACTTTCCTTAACAACAATCCATAGTATTGTAATGCCAGAACATTTTTTGATTTGGATTTCCTGTCGGCAAGACATTTGTCTTAGAAATTGTTCTAATAGAAAAGAAAACTTCTTAATAAATATGTCTGTTTTATGACTTATACATGAGATCTTTTCAAGTATTAAAAAGATGTCGGTGGTTTACACACAGGAATAATTTTCCTCAAACTAAGGTCTTCTTTTCACTGGTGCTGATTTCAAGCCAAATAACTACACTCAGAGAGGAACCAGGATTTTATTATGGATTTATTTACCATTTTCTTTGGCTGCATTTAACAACAATAAAACCCCAACAACTGTTGTAAGTGTAATTTATAGTGATTTTTGTGAATTTAACCTATATATATATATATATATATGCCTAGTTTATGCTTCTGCGTTTTCAGAGCGACGCAGACGCAAGACCCCCTTGCGTGTCCCGTGCGTCGCTTTTCACACCTCTTTGCGTCCTCGCGTGTCGAGACATTTTCTCCCGCAGCACCAGGCTGCGACTGGTCCGCTAACTACGTCCTTTACGGAGTCTCACATTTCCGCTTTCATAGCCCGATGCCGCCATTATTAAAACGAAGAATGTTTACGAGAGAACGGAGCAGATTGAAGAACTTTTGTTGGAAGAAATGCGTAAATATGAGCGCTTCTACAAGCCGTCATTGGCGGGTTTAGAAGCGGGTTGGATTCACGGAGGGAGATCGCCGCAAACGCCGGTTTGCCGGTCGAGAGGAACAAAGTCGTGGAGGAAAATACGGGACAAATGTGTCCTTGATGAAAAGCAGCAGTGTGATGCACGGGGCAGTAAAGTCTATGGTACATAAATAAATAGACGTGACTCTCTAGGTCGTCTTCAACCAAACACGTCACTCCGCCTCTTGTTCTGGAGGTGAATCGCTCTGCAACACACGCAAGACTTTTAGAACCATGAATTGAAACGAGTGCGTCGACGCAAGGACGCAGACGCATGCGCCAACAAGGCCCTAAGGCCCACCCTATTACGTCATCCCTACGGTAGCCCGGATGTCAGGAACAACACTAATCAACACAGGACCAAATACACAAATGAATAAACGAATAAAACTAGACATGTACTTAAGACACTCGTAAAGGGAAGGCTGTGGCCCGACATATGCAGATGAATAGATGCTTTGAACTGCGTCCGTGTGAAAACTAGTGTAAGGATTCATATTAATCGAATTTGCCGCTCCTCGTCAATCCCACGTCACTTCTTGTTCGTCTTTCTAAATACAAAAATAAATAGAGCATACAGAAACTACTTCGGTGCAAAAATGACGCCCGATCACATAACCTCGTGTATAAAACCAAACAATTTGATATAATAGAAACATGTATTATCGACTTCAATGTTTTGTTACTATAATTGTGTGTTGTTTCCATGTAACCCTCAAGTAGCAGAGTGGCGCAGCGGAAGCGTGCTGGGCCCATAACCCAGAGGTCGATGGATCGAAACCATCCTCTGCTAACTTTTCATTCTGCCCGTATTTCTTGCTTTTCTTTTCGCAAAATCCTTTGTACAAAACAACTGAACAAACCATTTTTTTAAATTTCGTGATCTGCATTCTTTACACACACATCGGCGAGTTACACATTTAATTCCACCGGGAAAGAGTGCAATTTGGCTCCGACACGGCTTTGTCCCAACGTTTCAAACATGAGAAGAAAAGACGTCTGAAGAAGAGTCACGGTAAACAAGCGAACTCCTTCAAAGATATTCACAGATTCGGACTTCATTTTACCAATACGGGGCCGGTTTGCGAGCTGGGCGCATTGCTCTTAATGTACCGGTAATGATGGTAAATGATGGTTGTAGCTGGTTGTCGTCTACGGTTACATAAAGGTGTCGTTTGTGTTTTGACAACGTTTTATCTCATACTTTCGACTTTCTATCCCCTGTCTTCAGTGCGGAAATGGGCTTCTGTGTGTAAATGCATCACTCCAGCCAATCCAAAGACGGGGTTTGTAACCAATCAGATGTGGATACAATAGTGACTGGCTCCGGCCCCTGGTGACTGGCTCCGCCCCCTTACTGTCAAAATAAACAACAGCCAGTGCGTACAATAAGTACATTCAACCATAGGGCACAAACTCAGGAGAACAAGAAACAAGAAAGTGCAATTTCCTCAAATAAGCCAATTTACAATTTGCTATAGATGAGTGACGTTACAAGTACAATTTAAGTGCTACAGTTTGTTAGTCTTTAGTCGAGGTAGAGTCTGAAGAGGTGTGTCTTTAGTTTGCGGCGGAAGATGTGAAGGCTCTCTGTGGTCCTGGTGTCTTCAGAGAGCTCGTTCCACCATTTCGGCGCAAGGACAGCAAAGAGTGGTGATCTAGTCGAGTGTTTTGCTCTCAGTGAGGGAGGAACGAGTAGTTTTGCAGATGCAGAGCGGAGAGTGCGGGTTGGGATGTCGGGTTTGACCATGTCCTGGATGTAAGCTGAACCCGATCCCATTCACAGCATGGTACGTGAGCACCAATGTTTTGAACTGGATGCGGGCGGCCACCGGTACCAGTGAAGAGAGCGGAGGAGTGGAGGAGTGAGGGAGAACTTAGGAAGGTTGAAGACCAGTGGAGCTGCTGCATTCTGAATGAGCTGCAGAGGTCGAATGGCGGTGGCAGGGAGACCAGCCAGGAGGGAGTTGCAGTAGTCCAGGCGGGAGATGACAAGAGCCTGAATCAGTACCTGCGCTGCCTTCTGAGTGAGAAGGGGACGTATTCTCCTGATGTTGTAGAGCGTGTATCTACAGGATCGCGTTGTCGCGGTGATGTTGGGAGTCAGGGAGAGTTGGCTGTCGAGTGTGACGCCGAGGTTCTTAGCGGTCAAAGTGGGCGTTAGTACGGAGTTCCCAAAGTTGACTGTCAGGTCCTGGGTAAGCGAATCTTTTCCGGGAAAGAGAAGTAGGTCAGTTTTGTCGGGGTTGATTTTCAGATGGTGGGCGGACATCCAGTGGGAGATGTCAGTTAGACAGGCAGAGATCCGAGCCGCCACCTGGGTGTCCGAGTGAGGGAAGGAGAGAATTAGTTGGGTGTCGTCGGCATAGCTGTGGTAAGAGAAGCCATGCGAGCGAATGACAGCGCCAGGAGAGTTGGTGTAAAGCGAGAACAGGAGGGGACCCAGCACGGAACCCTGAGGAACTCCAGTAGTAAGAGGACAAGGTTCCGACACAGATCCTCGCCAGGTTACCCGGTAGGTGCGGCCGTCGAGGTAGGACGAGAGAAGGGAGAGAGCAGAGCCTGAGACACCAAGTTCCTGAAGGGAGGAAATAAGGATCTGGTGGTTGACCGTGTCAAATGCAGCAGAGAAGTCCAGAAGGATGAGGACAGAGGAGAGAGAGGAGCTCTAGCAGTGTGGAGTTGCTCAGAGACAGCAAGGAGAGCAGTCTCTGTGGAGTGGCCTGCCTTGAAACCTGACTGGTGGGGGTCAAGGAGGTTGTTACAGTGGAGATAAGAGGAGAGTTGATTAAAGATCACACGTTCAAGGGTTTTGGACAAAAAGGGAAGAAGAGAGGCCGGTCTGTAGTTGTTTTCTTCAGAAGGGTTGAGGGTGGGTTTCTTCAGGAGAGGGTTGACTCTTGCCTCCTTCAGAGAATTGGGAAAACAGCCAGATGACAGAGCGTTGTTGATGAGACAGGTGAGGAACGGAAGAAGGTCAGGTGCGATAGATTGTAGAAGATGTGATGGAATGGGGTCAAGAGGGCAGGTGGTCGGACAGGCAGAGGTTACTAGGGTAAGAATTTGGTTAGGAGAGAGGGCGGTGAAAGAGGAAAGTGAGGGCGAAAGAGGTGAGGTCGGTGCGACGCGAGAAGTAGGTGGTGGGTTTGAGAAGGAGGAGCGTATGTCAGCTATTTTCTTGGTGAAGTAGTTGACAAAGTCTCCCGGAAGAAGGGTGGAGGGGGGAGGAGGGGTAGGGAGTTCGAGGAGATTGGAGAAGATCGAGAAGAGTTTTTTGGGGTTAGAAAATGAAGATTCAATTTTGGATTGGAAGAAAGAGCTTTTGGCAGCAGAGATAGAAGCAGAAAACGAGAAAACAAGGAGAGGAGAGATTGAAATTTAAGCAGGTCGTCAGGTCGTTTATATTTACACCATCTCCTTTCCGATGCTCGCATGGTGGCTCTCATGGCACCATGTCGCGGTTGACAGCGCAAACTTGCCGAGACACCGCTCGATTACAGATTCGACGGTGCACGGTTACATTCGGTCTCGTTCAGCAGCTCGGTGTGCGGTCTCCTCGGTCGCCACGGTCTCTTCCGGTCATTTACATAGCGTGCAGCGCATTTGTTAAAGAGTAGGCTACACACGATTTCTAACCCATGATAGAAATATTCCCTGCCTAACCTAATGGGAGTTGTGAATTGGTAGACCTAACCTAGCCTACCTAACTTGCCGTTAATTTTCATTCGGCAAGAGTTCGTTAACTTCTCAGTTAAAGTGCAGGACCGGTCACCTCATGACTTAAATACGGTGCACTGCATTATAAACAGTTGTCATGCACAAAATAGCCTACTGCAAAGTGGTGTTTTGTAAACACAAACATTAAATAGCAAAATTATATCACAGCGTTTTATTCGATGCACTTATACATACAATGGCTCTTGGGATTGGCTCCCCACGTTAGTAGTACAGCATTCAGTAATTGAGTCAACAGTCACCGGGAACAATCCGAGTCGCTCTCACGGTCACACCGCAACCGTGCTTCCACAACACTTCAACAATAGTGATGTGTCGTTCGTGAACGACGAATCCTTACAAGGACTCGAGAGTAACGAGTCCTCTCAAAAAAAAGATTCGTTCATTTTACTGAACAGTCTGTAAAATCTCCCCCCTCCCCGTCACCAAATGACTCGAAGAAAGATCCGTTCGCTCACCTTACCACCCCGACATGAACGAATGACTCGAAAAAAGATTCGTTGATTTTACTGAACGAGATTAAGAACCGAGTCGGTAAAAAGATCCGAACTTCCCATCACTATTCAACAACTCTGTTCAACTCGGTTGTCACGGTTCTTTTCTTCTTCTTTTGTTTCTCGGTAGATACTATCTCTGTAGTACACCGCCACCAACTGTACAGGAGTCTCTTAAGGTTCAGTCGTGCGCGATCTAGGCGGCCCACTTCCTGATTGATTGTACCACCGCTCCAGTGGAGGCGCTGGTGAGCTGGATCAGCCCGCGACTCACAGAAGAAGACCACCGATCGCGCGCTCAAGCCACTGAAGCGCGGGCACGAATGAGTGGTTGAAAGCCGGAGTGAGTCGGTTCATTGACGTTTGGCACCCGATTCTCCCGCTTCAGGTACACGAATCAGGTTATTTAACCGGCTCTTCGGTCAGTTCGTCAAAACACCTTCGAGCGCGAGCAGAGATTAACCTCGCGAGCAAAAGTTCGTCTCGCGCGAGATATTTTCTCGCTCGCGGATGTTTGATTTACGCGTCCACGTCTTCCCGACTGACGACAATTGTGAGATTGTGAATAATGGACTAAACTATTTTTACATTAACAATGCCCAGTGGTCATCAATGGTGGACTGTACTTGCACTTGGAAACTCCAATGTGAGTAATTTATCCTTCTGCGTTTTCAGAGCGACGCAAGGACACGAGTGCGTCACACGACGTAAAGACGCAGAAACACGCAGCGGCCTTAACAGAGGAAATTTGAAATGCTTAAAAACAGAATAGCCCGCTGAGCATCTCCTGCCTTGTAGAAAGAAAGACACACAATAAAACACCACAAACCTCTCAATTAAAGTTGTGATGCGTATTTCTTTTTACCACAGGGATGCCGGTTCGGGGCTGAAACTAATGATAGTCTCCAATGTCAATAAATGTAATGTATACGATGAAAGCATTCTTTTGATTATTCATTATTCTTCTGGAAAAAGGACAAGTATCTGACCTTTTAGGCTCAAATAAAATCCAGACTGGAAGATTTCTTGTAACTGTGGACACTAAAGCAGAATAGAATTGTCATTTGTTTCACAAATTGACCAATGTAAAATATCACCTCATCAAAATATGTAAAATATCACCTCTGGGCTCACTAAGAGACCAGTCCTGCCCAGGCCTCTGAGCAACGTCAGATGAGCCTCTCTTCATCGCCTTTGAGGCCTAGGAACTATACCCAACCTCCACTTGTCCTCTGCCATAGCGCCGTCCAACGGGACCTTCAGGGGAGCTGAGGTGGAGGGTAATTTGGGGGAAGAGGCTTTAAAACTGCTCCCATGTCTCTGTTAGCTGTCTCTTTTTCTGTCTTCTGTCCCATACTGCTTTCTGTGTCTCCGTATCTCTATTTCAGGCCTGACCACATAATGACAGACCTGCTGTATATTAAAGGACCCTGCCCATGCGTCCTCCTCCTGTCGCCTCCCTCTTCTCTGGCCTTTATAAGCCTCTCACACAGGAGAGGGCGGTGGGGGGTCACTACTTTCAAAAGAGGGACAGCGCACAGGCTTCTGGACGGCTCGGCGGATTCGGAAAAACCCCCGACTTATTCGCCCCGCGGATCTCCCATCCAAACTCTGACCATGGACAACCACTCGTACAACTTCCCCTCGGACTGCACGCCGCTCACCAACTGTAAGTCCGCCCGTAAGCCGGCCGGATCCACCGTGGTGAACATGGACGCCGGCAACAACCCTCCGCGCGACTATCTGGTCTGGTCGCTGTGCAACACCTTGTACGTCAACTTCTGCTGCCTGGGATTCATGGCGCTCGTCTACTCCATCAAGGTGAGATGCTCTTTTTTAATTTTGTTTGTTTTAAGTCGCATGTTTCGGTTTAAGCCGTTTTCATGAAAGAAGAAGATACACAACACAAGTAAAAAGCTTGATACCATGGTGAGGAAAGTATTTCAAAATGTTTTGTAACGCGACATTGCGAGGGCCAGATTGTCAGTAAAGCCATGAAAGCCAGCAGGAACGTGTCATCATAGTGGGCAGCTGTTCGCGCCCTTCGCCACAGGAATGGGCCGTGGAGCCAGAGGAACGAGAAACTAAAACAGTTTCTCGCTCGTCGACAACACAGCACACAAGGTCCTTGAAAGCAAAGCAGGACTGGACAAACGACGCGACGACCTGAGTTAAAAAGGTTTCTTAAGTACGCACCAAAAAGGGGGTTTGCAATCTGTCGGCATTGGGCGCTGAACCAAAGGCCCCGGATGGGCTCCGCGCTCTAATCACAGACAGCGGCACGCAGTCTCTGCGGTGAAAAAGGGTGTAACTGGCATCTTCCTAATGGGCCGGCACTCATGGGAAATTGGAGAGAGCTCCAGAAAGACAGCCTGGTGCGTTCTAAAATATACGGATTCAGAGGCAGCTCAAGGGTTTCAGAACCCTCCAACGCTCAACCTCGACTCACTGGCTGTGGAAACAAATGGAATCATGGCACAAGCTGTAAACAGTAAAGATTTCACTGAAGATGTCATAAGATGCAGGTGCCCTCGTCTTTTTACGACTGACAGTGTAAACGGGTTCAGACACTTGAAATACATTTTTACTCTTTACGTGATTCTTAATTGTTGTGTGTGTGTGTGCGTGTGTGCGTGTGTGCGCCTCCATGCAGGCCAGGGACCAGAAGACTCAGGGCAACCTGCAGCTGGCCCAGGAGTGTTCCGACAAGGCCAAGTGGTACAACATCCTGGCAGGCGGCTGGAACCTGCTGATTCCACTTCTGGCCGTCGGGCTGCTCGTCCTCCTGCTCGTCCACCTGGGCTCCTCCCAGGGCTCGTTCGACTTTTTCGGAGAGGATGGCTTCCAAAACTTTATGAAGCTGTTTAGCTGGTAGACGGAGGGCAAGAAAAAAAGAAGAAGGTAATAAACACACATGGGTCTCAAAGTCGACCCGTCCTCATAAACAGGGAGAGGGGATTGTAGACAGCTCCTAAATATTTTCAGCCAATTCAAGCCACAAAGCAAATCAATCTGGGCTGACATCTATTCAGCACCCAACGAATAAAAGTAGTGAGAAGGAAACGTCTTCTATTACAAGAAGGTCGTCTTTGGGATGCACCAGTTCTGATGCTGGTGTTGTAAATTCTGGCCCATGAAACCGGTTACACATTAGCACATGAGCTGGATAAGACTTAATACTTCTGGACCTCTGAGAACAAATGATGGTGTTCAGGTTGGTAGAAATGTGTCGGTCAAAGACCTGAGATGGAAACGAGGGGAACAAACAGAGAGAGAGCATGCAGCTGCTCTGGGTCTTTTCCTTCTTATTTATTGTATTTATGTTGAACGGTAAATTTGATGATGGCTAAAATGATCTCTAGTCAGAGAGAACAGAGGACGGAGGAGCCACAGTCTGCATATCGAATGATAATCAACATTCACCTCCCACCGGTGCTTATTTATCTTTTTTCAGCAGCTTTTTACCTTTTGTGATAACATACATCTGCTTTAGTCATTATACATGTATTCTTAGTAGTATTTTGTTGCATTCATTTTTCCTCAGCTTTTTGCTGACCATTTGTAATGGAGCTAAATAAAGCAGATACTGTCTCAGTATTGCCTTACATATAACAAACAGGCTTTATATGTTTCTCTTTCACATGATACAATTGCTTTGGGTCGGCTTCTTTCTCAGATCCATCCTCCACTAATGAGCACGAGGATGAAGGGAGGTTCTTTGAAATGGCGGTTTTAGTTTCACTGCTTCACCTACAGCAGTTTATAATAAATCCTTTTGGGCGTAGGTTGGATTCTGGGGCAGGTCTGAGGCCTTGGGCAAGGCATCGTTTTTTTCATCCCAGCTGTGAGCCTGCGGCCGCACCAATTATGTACAGGACATCCCGATTTAGGGAGTTTAAGTGTGGCCTCGTGCGTAAGGCAGGGCCGCCCAGGCTGACCAGTACAGAGGAGGCCTGCAGCCCCACCACATCATTTCCACCCAATCGCCTTTCAGTATGACGACTTACTGCACATTTTATATCGGCGTTCTGTCGGAGGATTAGTGCCACAGGAAACCTACAGGTTCATCCACACAGACACATGTTGTACTGAAGTCTAGAACGCCTGCTGAGGTGCATTGAGCGATGCAGAGACTGAATCTGCTGCGTCATGCACCGCGGCCCACGTCTTCAGACCTCCCATCATATTAGCAGCCCCTCCTTTGCTCACAACGTTATATATATAAGCACCCAAATGACAGCCTCTAGCTTCCCACTTGCTATTTTCCTCCTGCGGTCCGAGCTAAAGGCTCCCAGATGTTTGAGCCGTGGAGAATTACAGACTAGGAGCTGGCGCAGCACAGGGAGGGGCCGCCCACTTCTCGCTGCTGAGGCCCGGGGAGGAGGACATGCAGGAAGAACACACACACTTGATATGACATAAATCAAGTGTTCTTCCTGTTGTGAAGGTTTCAGGACAGATGTTGTCGCAGGTGTACAGACTGTAAAGCCCTCATGTCCCAAGTCAAAGTGTCCCTGAGCAAGACACCTAACCCCTAATTGCTCCCTGGAGTAAAATGTAAAAAGCCACGGGTTAAACATGTAATGAAAGCCGCTTTGGACAAATGACCTGTAATGTGACGCCACGTGTTGCACCCAAAGGTAAAGTTAAACAGGAAAAGGACTTTCATCAGATGAATTGGGATTGTTTGTTCCATTTTGATCAAATGAAACAAAGCTTATTGAGCTTAATGACACATCTCTGGGCAGCGGGGTATTAATGTATAACTGAACACTGAACGCACATTCAAAGGGAATCCCTTGAGGTGTGTGTGGGATGTGGTGCCCTCTGGTGGTGGGGTTGCAGAAAGAAACAAACTGCAGCTGTTTGGTGTCAACGAGAAAACACTAACTACCAAATAAAGTCATTATTTACGAATAAAACACAATACTCCGTTGAATAAAACACAATACTTCTTCATTTCAGTTGACTTCACGATACAAAACAAATAATGTTTGAGTCAATCTGCCAGAAGATCCTCCTAAATGCTACATAATAACACCCCCCCCCCCCCAATCCCTCCTCCCCCCTCCGGAGGCTTCAAACTGGATTTCACCACACAGAACAAACCTGAACGGAACTGACTGCTGACTTGTTAGTTCAGGACACGGCACACACGATGGTGCAGGAGGAGAGATGCAAGTAGTTTTATATCATTTGTAACAGATTTAAACACAAAAGTGGAGACAAATCAGCTTCTAGCTCAGCAACCTGGGAACATAAAACTCCTTGGAGCTCTGCAGATGTTATTAGTGTGATAAGTAAGTAACAATTCATAAAACGGGAAATACAGTGTTGCTCACATTGAAAAAGCAAACCCAAGTCCACTAAACAACAAAGGAAAAGCATGTTTTTCTTTATAGTTCGATGCCTTCTCAGATTTTGATAATGGCTGCGTAGTAGTTAAACCTGTTTCCAGAGTTGGGTTTCCAAGTCCTTTGTCCCTCCTCCAGAGGCAAGTTCGAGCAAAACATCATCCAAAACCAAACTGAACTATGCTGAACTGCTACGGTGCCAAATGACTAAAATGTGATTGTGTTTGCACCATGTTGTTCCTGCCAAGTGGAGAGAACGTCCATGTGTTACATTACATTACATTACATGTCATTTGTACGATGCTTTTATCCAAAGCGACGTACAATAAGTGCATTCAACCATAAGGACACAAACTCAGGAGAACAAGAAACAAGAAAGTGTGATTTCCTCAAATAAGCCAGTTTACAATTTGCTATAGATGAGTGACGTTACAAGTCCAATGTAAGTGCTGCAGTTAGTTAGTGTGTTAGTGGAGGTAGAGTGTGAAGAGGTGTGTCTTTAGTCTGAAGATGTGAAGGCTCTCTGTGGTCCTGATGCCTTCAGAGACCTCCTTCCACCACTTAGGAGCAGGACAGCAAAGAGTGGAGATCTAGTGGAGTGTTTTGCTCTCAGTGAGGAGGAACAAGCAGTTTATCACATGCAGAGCGGAGAGGTCAGAGGTCGGGATGCCGGGTTGGACCAGGTCCTGGATGGAAGCTGGACCCCATCCATTCACACAGCTGAACCAACACGTACCTGCTCACTTTAAAGAACATATAGCAAAAACTGTCAATAACATGCAGTATTCTTACAGTGAGCTGATCTAATTCTAATGCATAATATTGCTACGTGTTCTTAACTCAACTATCTCAGCACTTCTTCCACTGCTGCTCAGTCGCTATGCGAGCAGCAGGATTTAGTACAAGCGAAGCCCAAGAAACCTGAAAGGTAAAAGCTGGTGAAAAGGACTCATTCAACTGGTCCCGTTTCATGCCTGAATCACCTTCTGTAACGTGGGCCACGCGAGGGCCACACCTTGTTTCAGGGCTACGGTTAGAATCCACCACGTGGCGCTTCTGTACACTTTCCCGTGTGGTCGTGTAGTTGGTACGTGACGTGTTTACGGCCTTATTATCAGCGCGCGAACACGTGCGCTCCGCAGGCCTGCACGTGCGCCACCAGTCATGTCGAACACCCGCTCGAGCAACTCCCTCCACAACGCCTCTCGTGCAACACGCCCCACAGCCGCCCGATGGACTCAGCCGCTTCCATCCGCCGACTTTCTCTACTGCGTGCGTTGGTGTGAAAGCAGAAGCAGAAGCAGCAGAAGAAGCAGCAGAAGCAGCAGAAGAAGCGCCAACATGACCAGGTGAGGGCTCTGGTCTCCAAGGAGACCGAGCGCATGACTGACAGGAAACGCTCCATGCGATGGGCGCAGTGCAGAGACGCGGTTTGCAGAAGAGAAACGTGACTTTTACAAAGTTAAGAAAAAGTTGAGGGAGCATAGTTCACTTACTTGTGGTAATCATTTGCATTGTTTGTGCCCGTGTTTCAGTTCATTAACGCCTCCTGTGTGCATTTCCTCATCTGAAGAAAAGGGGAACGTTTCGTTTTTTTTCGCTTCCTATGCAGAATTTCGACTTTCAAAAAAGCCCTGAAATACTTTTCACCGTTTTAGTTTGATTCGTGTGCACTTTTGAATCGGAGATTTCACTTTCTATTTGACAGCCTGTAGACAAGTGGCTTCGCTTGTAACTTGTGCTGAATTCCGTCGTGTTGGAGCTTCCACACATTGCACATTTGATCTTGGTGCAGTTGATGAAAGAGTTACACTCTTCTTCCATTGTATTTGTGATGTAATGGAGAGCGCTCAGCCCTCAGACACGTGCACGTCCCAGTACACTTGTAACATGAGCCAGTGACAGGAGCACCGGCTTCTTTCACCTTCACACGGTCCAAAGATAATGCAGTCAAGCCAGATTATGATTCTTCTATGATCTAGTGTGGACCACAGCCGGCTGGTAACATCCCTGACTGTGAACAAACACCGCGCCCCCCCCGATGTGACCTTGAGACATTCTGACCGATTGTTACCAGTCGGCCCGAGGAAGTCAAACTTCCCTGGTGAAGGTTTTTCTCTTGTTCCTGACCCCTCATTCGTCTGGAAATGTATGAAGGGTTTGTACTTCACCCATTCATGCAGTGGTGGCAGGAGCTAGGGGACAAGTGTCCTTCCCAAGGACACACCGACGTGCAGGTTAGATCAAACCCACAATCCTCTAATCGTGGCAGCTCTGATTTCCACTCCCCCTCGGGCATGTACAGAGGATATAAACGGCCCGGTAACGGTTCGTATTTGTCCACGCGAGGAGGAGGGCCTGCAGGAGAAGGTCAGTGGAGAGATTTGTCCATGAAATAGTTCCGATTGGCTAGTGGTGTTACAATAAAAGTGCACGCTGCTTATCCTGCACAACGAGTTTTAGTTTCTGCACTAACTTTGTTGACATAAAAACAAAAAAGCAGGTGAATAGCATTGATATCCCTTCATGACATATTAGTTTGTGTTCATTTGCAGCTCCTTACACCTTAACTATGGTGAATAGTTTGAGGGAATTACATCTGACATGTAATTACCCTTTCGCTTGTTAGATGTGAAGTTGATTCCACTCTCACATCTGTATGAGGGGCTAAATATGCAGCTGGAGTTACCAGCAGAGAAGTGAGATGTTTTTAGTTCACAATACGGTCAGAAAACAAGTTTACAACAATCCGAGCGTGATCGATCCTCTTAAGTTGTTAGTTAAGTTGTGTGTTGTTTGTCTCCTCTCAGGGTGACGTGACTGTAACCTCAACCGGATAATATAACAAAAGGTTGGATAGTCCATCCTACTTGGCGTTAAGTAAAAAGGGGATTAATCCATTAATAAAGAGCCCGACCCAACGCTCTGAGGTATCAGTTGTCTTTTGTGCAGAACACTCTGTTCTTCTGGAAAGGAAATGAGGCCCGTCCAAGTTCCCCACAGACCAAATCTGGACTCACTTACCAAGCATTCCAAAACTTTCCGTTCTGCAACAAGTGAATACACCCAGACTCACTCCCACCCATACGCCCAGCAGCTCTCCGAGGTGCAGAAGAACAGTTATTGGTTTTTGAGCAGAGCCTTTTGTTCAGGACATACCGTTCTTCTGCGGAGGAACTGAGAATCCAATAAACATGAGGCCCATCCAGATTCCCTGAAGACCAAATATGGATTCACTTACCAGGCATTCCAAAATTTCCGGTCTAAAACAACTGAATACCCCAAAGCACAATGAAGGAAGCCAGGGAAGGAGAAGAGAAGGAAGGAAGGGAACACAACCCTTCGGAAACGTTAGCCTTATTGATGTTTTCATTAAATGGGATTTGAAGACGAATCTCTTCTTTATTAGTCATCCAAACATGTTTCAACACAGTGTGTCGTAATATCTGTTGTTCAACATCTGGAAAAGGGTTTTTGAGGAGCTTTTAGCAGTTAACCCGCTTGTTTGGACGGTAGTTTTTTAGCTGTACATCTACAGAGAATACAAGTAAAAGAAAGCCCTGGTGTTCATACATACTTCCAAACCCCTTGAAGAAAAGAACATCTGAACTTTACACCATGACAATCTTCAGATGAACAACACAATGGCGCCGTCTGTTTTATGACCTTTTGAAATGAGGGCGAATCTTTCTACACTGCAGCGCGTCGCCGTCACTGCGCCACAGGACTCGTTAACTCTTTGAATCCGGTGCTGAATAAGGAAGCGTGTGCTTTTTATTTAGTTGGTTTGAAGTGAAGCTTGTGACATTCATTTCTGACGCCTCTGTGACGTTTTCCAAAGGTTTGATCTCAGAGTTAAAGACATGAAATCAAATCTTTTTTGTTTCACTGAGCACATCCGTTATCACCATGTCGTAGTCGGCGTCCGCCCTGTTAAACACACTGTGCGGTTATTGCAGTGGCCTGAGGGGTCTGTGCATGTGACCGTGCACGACAAAACATGTGATCCATGAAGTCCTGCCGTTTCTTATTATCACACGGCTCAAAATGTCCTCGTAAAGTCAACAGTGAGTAGCCGGCTGTTTACGGCCTGTGTACCTCTGTGGGGGGCGTCCTGTGTGCAGCAACAACACAATGTGATCCTGTGATGACTGACAACATCGATTTGTTTTCACATTGTGAAATCACTGTTGCAACCGTGGACTTTGGAATGATAGTCGAGTTCACCTACAAAATGTGGAGCAAAAAACAGACTTTAGACCTGATTGGACAGCATTGTGACAGCTTACTGTTGATTTAGTAGTTGTTGTTTCTTCTGGCTCTGAATGATTTTGCATCATTTTGGATTTGCAGCATTAAAAGTACTCCTTTCATTTGAACATTTTCAGTTTCACCACCAGAATCTGAAGAAGGATCAGCTTGAAAGAAATGCATATTTGATCGATCGATCGTACATTCTTCCTCTCTGCAGATGCCTGATTAGCAAGTCGGAGGTGCAAGGCTTTGTCGAGAGGTGCATGACCAGCGTGGGCACCCAGCCGCATCATGCCCGCAGCCTGGCAGAGGTGCTGGTGGAGGGGGACCACCGGGGTCACTACAGCCATGGACTCAACCGGATGGGTCAGTGGGGCGCTGAACGTTCCCCGTCTGACTCGGTACACACATCGATTGAATAAGATGATCATTGGTTCTTTGTACTCTTTGCCAGACATGTATGTGAAGGACGTCCAGACCGGAATCTGTGCCAAGGACGGTGAGCCGGTGGTGGAGAAGGAGAGTGCAGCCACGGCGTTGGTAGATGGGAAGAACCTCCTGGGTCCTGTGGTGGGAAACTTCTGCATGAATCTGGCCATTAAGAAGGCAAAAGAAGCCGGCATTGGCTGGGTGGTGGCACACGGTGAGCACGTTAGCATGCTGCTAACAGCGGCTGTTAATAACTGCTGCACAGCAATATGCGACGCATTTGGATTCACCTGCCTGATAAATATGTTCGTGGGTTTTGCATTAAGCTCATATAACAAGCGATTAAATGCTGATGAAAGATGACTACAAATCAAATGAAGTAAACTGTAAATGTTTGCTATATCAGGGTCCAACCATTACGGTATCGCCGGATACTACGCAATGCAAGCTCTGAAGGAAAACATGATCGTGAGTGACGTTTACTCTGCTTTTTTATTTCATACAAAAGGTAATTTCTTAAGTAATTAAGGTCAATGTGCTGTCCTTCTTCCCCCAAATGGTTTTAATGGCAGTGTCTAATAGTGTGTCCTTTACAGGGCATGTCGTTCACCAACACGTCCCCGCTGGTGGTTCCCACACGCGGCAAAGAGGTGAAAAGATGATCTGTTGCACAGAATAAACTGTACCTCATTGCACAAAGAGCCTCTCGGCCTCACTCTCTGCTCTTTGTAGTGCACTCTGGGCACCAACCCCATCAGCGTGGCGGCTCCTGCTAAGGACGGAGACAGCTTCGTTCTGGATATGGCCACATCTGCAGTAGCACTTGGAAAGGTGAGACAAGCTGTATACTGATGACACATCTGGAAGGCCTTTCATGCAGAAAATAATATCAGGAGACTGACTGTCACTGATTGTGACATAAATGCATCGTCGACTCTCCTGAAAACTGGTTTGAGTTGCAGAGGCAAAATCCTTGGACCTCATTCAGCGTCTCAATGTTTTGTGCACAGGTGGAGCTCCACGAACGACGTGGAGACACCATCCCTGAGGGCTGGGGCTGTGACGCTCAGGGCAAGCTGACCACCAACCCCAAGGAGGTCCTGAGCGGAGGAGGCCTGGTGCCCATCGGCGGAAGCGAAGCCACAGGTCGGAACCCAGCTGAACCCAGTCTGCTCACCTGTAACATGTGGGGTAGAAAGATGCGATTCACGGGGGACGATTTCTCAGAAGGATTATCTCCATCTTCTTTTAGGATGATGCGCTGTTTAGCATCACGTATGCTACAATGCCTTTGTCTGTGTGTGCTGTTGTCCTCAGGAGGGTACAAAGGCTTCGGGCTGGGGATGATGGTGGAGGTGTTCTGTGGTATCTTGGCCGGTGCCCAGTACAGCAAACACGTCCGCACGTGGAAAGTAACAGATCGTGTTGCAAACCTGGTATGTTATTTATTTATTTGGGACTCCTGAGCATATTAAAAAAAGAATAGGTCCTCATGTCTTGTTATTTGTGAAATGAGAAAAGGGTTGAAAAGGATTTCCCCTGTAACGCACATTAGTATCTCTAAGGTGGGAAATAATAATGTTGTGAGGGGCCGTGTTCCTCTGGTCAAAGCGTGTGGAGGCCCCACAGTGTTGATTAAATCAAACGATTGACTAGATAACGGACAGAATACATTTTCTGTCACACCAAGCTGACACAACACACATTCTTTTGGGAAAAGGTTTTATCTTTTATCTGAACAATACGTCCGATCAATGAGTCTGACGGGGCCCTTTATTTACTCTTTGCCTGTTTGCTCCGTTGCTTTTGTACTTTCAGGGTCAATGTTTCGTGGCGATCAACCCGGAGAACTTTGCCCCCGGGTTCAGCGATAGGATGTCGGACCTTCTGTCCATCCATAGAGGGATGGAACCTGTGAGTAGATCCCACTGCTGCTGTGTGTCAATAAAGGCTGATAAGGAGAAAAATGTTGAGAGGATTATCGCAAGTGTGATTGTTTTATATAAAAGAATATGCAACTGGTTGTTTGTCTCAGGCGGACTCCGCCTCCCCGGTTCTGACCGCCGGAGATCCAGAGAGGATTAACATGAAGAAGTGTGAGGAGATGGGAGGGATCCCCTACCACATCAATGTCATCAACTACATGGTAGGAGGTGCAAAAGGAACTGCCTGGAATGTTCACCGTGGCGTTTTATTTATTGCTCATTTAAAAGAGCTGAGAGTTTGTACCTTTTTACAAATACACCTAATAACACTAATTATGAGTGCAACTAAACCTTTTTTAAATAAGGCCCATTTCCCAAAATCCAACTGCTCATTTCAGAAAAAAGCCTTTGCGATTCAGCTGCATTGACTCCCGTTTGTGCGTTCTACTTCCCCAGAACGAATGTGCCAAGAGAGTCGGCGTCCGCCCTCTGCTGCCGTGTGACAAGGTCATCTCCAATTAGTCCGTCCAGCCCAGATCCCCAACTTCTGCTCATCTTTAACTTGACAATCTCATTTTATTCGTTGTTCAAGTTCATAAAGGTTTTAATTAAAGCGACATTTATAACATAAGGAGGAAAATACCACAGCGTTTTCTTTTCTTAAGGGACTCCTCGCAACGTGTTTTTTTCAGTCTGAAGATACTGGAACCAAATGTTTATATTGATATGACTTCAAATAGCAAAATGTGTAATGACCAGCTGGGAGCAGGTTAACAAAGACAGGTGCTAAGCTAAAGTGGTTTGAGTTTGTTCTTATTAATTATTACAGTTATAATGCACACAAAGATTTTTTTTTAATACTGACCATTTTAAAATCATCATGAGACTGTTTGGTTTTTAAAGTTCAAATCTCCTTTTGACTCAAAGGTTATCTTTAAAACACCATTTGAATGTGCCTTATTTCAATGGAAGCCTAATAAACCAACATGCTTTTAATCTTATTGGTGATGTTTTTTAATGCTTCATTTACATGTTTACTTTGCCTTGCAAAACTATTGATATTATTTAGGGGTTTTATTGAAAAGTGAACATAAATGTGCTCACCCATTTAGATTTTCTGATGTCTGAGAAAGAGAATCTTTTAACGTCGTAGTGTCCCAAACATCAGGTAGTAACTTTGGCACAATCCGAGTGCTGGCGTGCAGATAATGATGAGTAAATGATGTAGTTGAGTGCTACTGTATTTGCATGCGCTTTCATGTTGAATTCAACACTCCCATGAAATCCATTTTAGCTTGTAGGTCTGACTTCTCACCACTAGGTGGAACCACAGGGTTTCACAGTAAACTGCTGCTGTTCACTCATGAATTCATTTACACATTGTTCATATTGTGTGATGTTGCTATTGTTGTTGGCTTGCTTTATTTAAGCAGCAACTTCTTTATATAAAACATGTTCTGTTGATTTTGTGATGTTGTTCAAATTGAATAATGACCAAATATATTTTATAGCATTAATGTTCCCCACATCGTTTAAGATGAGAACAACTAATGTTTAATTAATGTAATACTCGATCTGGGCACATAGTCACGTAAACATTTCATCTAACATGACGTCACATACAAAGTAAAAATCAATACAAATATTCAGTATTATGTTTTTCTGAGTGCGCTGCATACATGTTTGATCTACCTTGTTAAAATCAGTTAAGCTGAAGCAGCGGCCTCTCTCGGGGCCACGAGGGACCCGGGGCACTGGCCAGTGACAGATGCCCAGATCAGAACCCTAATCTCCCATGCCAAAAGTCCTGGCACCGGGCCCCGGACCCTGGATGTCTCGTTAACACTCGGCCGGCCGCAAACAAAAGCAGAGAAATCAACAAATCAATGGGCTTTCAGCCCCGCCGGGGGGGGGGGCTAAATGAGTGCTCGTCCAGGCCAGGTCTGCAAGCGCTTATGAAGGGAGATTAGGTCTGCTCTTGAAGGGGGGGGGGGGTACTGGTTGGAGGGCTCCGCCCGAGTCCAAGGATTAAGAGGCCGATTCAATCACTCTTCATGGGGTGGACTCGGTGTGTGTGTGTGTGCATGGATGGATAGATGGCCTTGGCTCGGTGCCCTTGCGCGGATTAGACGTGGCCCCCAAGAGCAGGACCGCTGTCTAGGATTAAGCAGATTCTGATTCGGTGGTTTCCTTTGTGGTGCTGGGGGGGGGGTCCATCACTCACTAAACAAGCAAATGATGAAGTGAGCGGCTGATGGAGGGAAGACAGCGAACGGCACGGCGTGTGTGAGGATCCGTGTTGGTTCTTGACTTGTAGAAACCAGAGGCTGCTTTGGGTATAAAGCAGAGACAAATGTGCAGGAAACTAGTGATATCAGGCAGGGAAAGGTTATAAAGAAGTTCTACAGGGACACACGGTTTGAGGAGCTCCACGTTACCCTCTTTAGCTCACACACACAAGGAAAACAGACACAATATAATGTTATCATCCATCACATTTTAGCGCTGTCACACGCTTCAACATGGAGAAGACTGAATGTCATCAGATGGTCTCGTGATGAGTTTGGTTGATCTGGTTTTTGAAGTCACTCAGCAGCGCAGGTGAAGGGAGGCGTGTGTTTTGTGGGTCGGAGAGCGAGAAAAGCTCTGCTGCTCTCCTGCTGGGTCTTTAATGAAGTGGAGAGACTTCCTGGTTTGTTCCTCCCAGCTGTTGTCCCCACAAAGCCAAGATATTTGGCCTTGGCTCTTTGTCCTGCTCGGGCTGCCACACCTCCAAATGATCGAGTGAACACGTAGAAATGAGAGCAAAGCATCTGCTGTCCTCTTCTGTCCAACTGCACCGGAATGCAGACGTCTCTCTACGGGCCGTGTCCCTCGCTGGGGTTCAGGATTGCTGTTTATCGTGCTAACAACAAACCACAATGCCGTGATGTTTTTTAGTACTGAACCGAAGACATGAATATTGGATTCCTGGAATATTGCATCATTTTCTGATACATGCATCAACTTTGTTTTCATTCCTATTTGTTGTACTTTGTTTGTAGATTAGGAAACGGATCACTAAGAAACCAACATCCTCACACCCAACCCAAAACCAACAAGTGACGACAACAAGTGTGTTAGAGCAGCGGTCCCCAACCTGTTTTACCTCACGGACCGTTTTCATGCGGACCGGTCGAGAAGGTCCGACGGGGGGGGGGGACGGGGGGGGGCTCTGTGTTCGCTGGTGCCAAACGCCTGGTGACGCGTGGGGAATCTGTCAGAGGGACGAGTGCATATAATTAGGAGAAAATCTGGTCAATTTTCAAAATTAAACATTTTTCTGAAAAAAAAATATATATAAGCTTTCTGTGGTGCGGCCCGGTACCAAACTGCCCACGGACCGGTACCGGTCCGCGGGCCGGGGGTTGGGGACCACTGTGTTAGAGGATCCCCTGAAATGTTATTTATGCATTTGATGTGAGCGTTTCGGCACAGAGGATGTCGCATGTGTGCAGACAGTAAAGCCCTCTGAGGCAAATTTATAATCTGCGATTTTGGGCTCTACAAAATAAAATGGATTGAATAAAAAAAAAAAAAAATTGAATTGAATAGTCTTGATCGCCTACTAGGACAAGTGTTTTCAGTGACCAGTTATTGGTTCACACCTACAAGTCCTGCAAAACCTCAAATACAAAAACCTTACTTACGTCAAATTTCTTTACAAAGAAATCAGAAAGAACAACACAAACGTACATTTTAATCTTTGGTGTCCTGAGAAAGACACGAGACAGATCAAAACATGCTGATTTAGAATAAAATAATGCAAATCAATTAGAAGGAAAGCGTTTCAGATCAACCCGGGAGTTGGTGTGTGATGCTTTAAGGTCTTTAACACTGATTTGAGTAAAGTATTGTCCTTGTTAACAGTATCCATTAAAATATGACACCTAAGACCAGACAAAGAGGGTCTGATAGAGCTTTTCTAAAAAGCAATAAAGAAATGATCAGCTCCCCTATAAGTCAAACAATAAAGCATTGTCTGTTGATGGGAGCACGTCATGGCCGATTGTCTACAAAAAGCATGAAAGGTTCTTCAGGATGATCATCACGAGGGGCAGAAAGAGAACATTAACACCTTGCGTGGCAAGATTGAAGATTTGCACGTCAAGTCAAAGGACAAAAGACTCGAAATTCGATGGTTCAGAGAAGATTCTCCTTCCCAAAGCAGCCACATCTGGCTTCTGCCCGCTCAGCGAACAGTGGGAACAAGTACTTTCACTGCTGGGGCCTTCTTCCTCCCTTCTTTTGTAAACCAGGTGGCACATGTCGTTGTTCTCTGCAGACGAGAGAAGTGCAAATAAAATGGAGGACACTCGCTCTTCCTCCCTTTGTCACTTTGTCATAGCGAGTGGATTTCATTTCCTGTGTGTGGTCTGCACACCTCTGCATATCGTGACCACCTGGACTCTTCCACCTGCATGTCGACAGGCAGCCGAGGTGTTGGAGGGCCTTGTGTGTGTGTGAGGTCCTCACAACACTCTCACAGTTGCCTGCATGCGTTTTTCCACTTAATTCTGGGGTTTGTTGTCGTGGTGTCGGCCCTTTTGTTGTGTACATGTAGCACATTCAATAGTCCAAAGACTTTCTCTGCCAACAGATTGATAACCTTCAATGCTTTAGTTGGATAGAATGTATTTGAAGCTCATGGATGCAAAGTGGTTTACGAGTACATCAAGAGCAAAAAGGAAAATATCAGAAAAGCATAAAAAGAACTAAACTTTGTCATTCTGAAACTCACACCAACGAGGCTTTTTTCAGATGACTTCCAGGGAGGATTCAGCTCCTGCGATGCGTGATGAATTTGTCACTTTGTCGTGACGTGTGAGGCCTGAAACACCAGCGTCAGGGTGACGCCGGCCTGTTGTGAGGCGACAGGAACGACGGCGAGAAACAGAGACAAATAATCTGTATTATGGTTCAAAGAAGAAAAGGGACGGGGGTCCAGCATCTGCCAACCAGCTGCTGATCGCTTTGATCGATACCACATCTTCTTTGGAATCCGTACACATTCAAACATCGATTATGATCGACTTCTTCTTCTTAGTTTAATAAAATGTTTTGGCTTCTCCTTATTCACTTATTTCATTCGGTGTCATTTCCCCCCTTTTCTCTTTTAATAAACTATCAACGTGATACAGAAATCAAATATACAACTAGACACCATGTTAAATGGTTATTGTGCAACTAGTTTGCTCGATCCATAAAATATTTCACAAAGAAACAAGAAAACGTTAAGCATGCTGCGGAGATCAAAGATGAGTTGAGTTAATAGTTCTAAGTTGTGAGCATGAAGCGCTGCAGCAAACAAAGAGTCAAGTTTCTGCCGTTTTCCGTTCGGCTTTCAGGTCTACAAACTTGTTTCGCCCTTCGATGACAAAGTGCCACTCGAACCTTTGAGTCTTTGTTCCTGAAGAACCTTCATCTACAGTAGAGGGGGCTCAGACACCAGCAGCTACAGGTGTGTGAGGGAGGGGGGCAGCAGCCCACCTGTGTCTGCGCTGTCCACTCGGGCTTTTATTTTCTCTTCTTGAGATGTGAATTTGCAAAGCGACAATGATGCAAAGCATTTCCCGTCCCGATGGACGTTAGAGGGGAGATTAACTGCACGGTGGCTCCGATGTAACTTTCATTACATTTCATTTCACATGAGGATTTAATTCAGTGTCAGCTGGCTGGACGGACGTGTTTGACCCCTCGGTCTCCCACCGGTGGCACGTTGCTGCGTCTCCGCCGGCTCCAGGCCCACAAACACACTTCCCATCCATCATCCATCTGGGGCCCCCGACTCCCTCCACCCCCCCACACACACACACACACACACACACTCCTCTCTGCTTGGTCAGCCGTGAACCCGCCCCCCCGTCCCCCCCGTCCCCCCCGTCCCCACTACAGAGAGTCTTTATCGCTGTCATCACCTAAGCTGCTAATTCTGTCCCACTTTGACACCTATTCTTTATTT